CCGGAGGCCGGATGGGGGAGATGAGCTCAGAGAGGCATGCCTGGGAGGCTGTGGGAGGGGTTTGGGTTGGACTCTGGGTGTGCTGGGAAGAAGGGGAAGGGCTGGACTCTGACTTCATGTTATTTGCAAAGATGAACAAGACAAGATTCCTGTCCCCAAGGTGAGGCTTCCGGGTGGATGTGAGTCATCCTCTGAACTGAGACATTTGTGAGACAGGAATGGGCTATGGTGGGGGCACACCATGTAGGGGGTGATTGTAAGAGCAAAGGCAGGAAAACCGAGGCAGTTTGGAGAATATTAAGGACAATGACAAGGCAGGAAGTGGTGTGTGGCAGGAGGGTGAGATGACCGTGTCCCCCTGAAGGAGGTGGCAGAAAGGGCTGGCTCCACTCTGAGGTCACACTTACGCGGTTCAAATCCCAGCTGCACCTCAGATGAGCTGTGTGTCCTCAGGTTGGTGACTTGCCCCCTCTGAACCTCCCACTCTTTCTGGGAAAGTCGGGTTGCTGAAGGATCACAGCAATCGTGACTTTGAATGGGCTTGGCTTCCACTCCTAGGCATATGCCCCAAAGAATTGAAAGCAGGGACTGGAACAGAAACTCGTACATCGGTGTTCATGACAGGGATCCTCACATAGCCAGAAGGTGGAAACAACCTGAATGTCCAACAGATGAATGGGTAAACACAGTGTGGTCCATCCTCAGGAGGGAATGTTACTCAGCCCTGAAGAGGAAGGAAGCTCTGATACACACTACGACATGGGATGAACATCGGTGTACACGTATCTGTTTGAGCCCCTGCTTCCAAGTCTTTTGGGTGTATACCTAGCAGCTCAGTCTCTGTTCGTCCATTACCTTCTCACGTCCGCGATTTCAGTCGGGATCGCAGGGTTCCAGCCCCAGGTTCCTGATTTCTGATCCTAGATTCCAGGCTCCAGAATCTGGACTCCCCGTGATCCATGCTCGGAAATCAGGATTTCCTGAAATTCAAGCTCCAAAATCGGGGTTCCCTGAGATCCAGGCTCCGAAATCCAGAATCCGAGCTCGCTGAGATCCAGGCTCCGGAATCTGGGTTCTCTGCGACCCAGGCTCCGAAATCCAGAATCCGGGCTCCCTGAGATCCAGGCTCCGGAATTCAGGATCCTGGCTCGAAATCAGGGCCCGGAGCCAGCAGCAGCCGTTCTGATTTTGAAAATCTGGCGCCAAAATCAGGCGCGGAGCGGGGGCGGCGAGAGGGCCGGGGGCTTCCCGGGCTGCACCGTCCAGGCTCTGGGCTTTCTCGCCCACAGCCCCGCACCCCGACCCCCAAAGCAGACAGCAACTGGTCATTGACTTTGCAGCACCCTGGGGTCAGAGAGTCCCGCGCTCGAATCCCGTCCCGCCATCTCCTGCTGGGGGGGGGTGTCCCGGAAAGTTCCCCTAAATCCCTTCAGGCCTCAGTTTCCCATCCTGCAAATGGGCCTCCCGCCGCGTGCTGGACCTGGGGGACCCGCAGAGGGGACTGGGCAACTTGGCAGGACGCCTCTGACCTGGGAGTGGCTCTCGTGTTTTTGGAGGGGGTACCCTGGCACAGCTCTCACCGCCCGCCCGCTCAGCGCCAAAATTTGAAAATTGCCCGGCGCCTCTCCCACTGGGCGCGCGGGGAGGGGCACCCGGGCCCCACCCACGGGCAGCGCCGGGCTTCTTGGGACTTGGAGTCCAGCCCCCGGAATCCCCCCTCGCAGCTCCAGCCCAGCGCTGAGAGAGCAGGGCCGGGAGTAGGCTCAAGGCCCCCATTTACACAGGGAGAGACTGAGGCCCAGGCTAGAGCGCACAGTGGGGAAGGGCGCTGAGGCGGGTGGAACAGCATGGACAAAGGCTGGGAGGAGGATGGGCCGGGCATCCACGTGCCAAGGGGCAGCGTCGTGGGAGGTGAGCCTTGAAGGGCAGGCGAGCTCGCATCCAGGCGGGGTCAGTCGAGAGCTCTGATGGGCGGGGGCGGGGTGGTGGTGGTGCTTGCAGATGAATTTGGAGTTGCAGGGTGGGAAAACTGACCTTGTGCCACCGCCAAACCTCAGTTACTCTTTTTCCGTCCTGTATTACTTATTTCATATTTTGCTTAAAAAATCCCCACACATTATACCAATTGGATTTTATGTTTTATAGGCCTCCTGTTATGGAGAGGTCCCTGGGTGACGGAAGCGGTTTGCGATTGGCTACTAACCAAAAGGTTGGCGGTTCAAACCCACCCAGCAGTGCTGGGAAAGAAAGGTCTGACCGTACGCTTTCGTAAAGATTACAGCCAAGAAAACCCTACATAGCACTTCTAGCACATGAGGGCGCAGTAAGTCTACATACATTGGGTTTGGCTGTTTTGGTTTACTATTACAGGCGAAAGAAAACAGTATCTGATCCATATGTACAAGCTAACTTTTGAGAAGACAACATAGTTACATTCTGTTGTTAGCTGCCCTGCAGTCCCCGCCCCCCTGATGGTGACACCATGCACAATGGGGAATGAAACGCTACCCATCCTGCCCCATCCCCATGATTGGTTTTGCATCCATAGAGTTTTCATTGGCTGACTTTCGGGAGTCAGTTGCCAGGGCTTTCTTCCTAGTCTGTCTTAATCTGGAAACTTCACTGAAACCTGTTCAGCATCCCAGAACCGCGCAAGCTTCCACTAACAGATGGGTCGTGGCTGCACATGAGGTACGTTGCCAGGAATGGAACGCGGGGCTCCTGCACAAAAGGCAGAAATTTTACCACTGAACCACCACTGCTAGGTGCTATTTCCATACGGAAGGCTGTGGTCTTTGATCATTCAAAAGCAGCTGCGGCAGTACATCGACAGGGAACTGCCAGAAATTCAAGCTGGATTCAGAAGAGGACGTCGAACGGGGGTATCATTGCTGATGTCAGATGGATCCTGACTGAAAGCAGAAAATACCAGAAAGATGTTTACCTGTGTTTTATTGACTATGCAAAGGCATTTGACTGTGTGGATCATGACAAATTATGGATAGCATTGCAAAGAATGGGAATTCCAGAACACTTAATTGTGCTCATGAGGAACCTGTACACAGAGCAAGAGGCAGTTGTTCAGACAGAACAAAGGGGTACTGTGTGGTTTAAAGTCAGGAAAGGTGTGCGTCAGGGTTGTATGCTTTCACCATACCTATTCAATCTGTATGCTGAGCAAATAATCCAAGAAGCTGGACTTACGAAGAAGCACGGGGCATCAGGATTGGAGGAAGACTCATTAACAACCTGCGTTATGCAGATGACACAACCTTGCTTGCTGAAAGTGAAGAGGACTTGAAGCACTTACTGATGAAGATCAAAGACCCAACCTTCAGTATGAGTTACACTTCAACATAAAGAAAACAAAAATCCTCACAACTGGACCAATAAGCAACATCCTGACAAATGGAGAAGAGATTGAAGTTGACGAGGATTTCATTTTACTTGGATCCACAATCAACACCCACGGAAGCAGCAGTCAAGAAATCAAAAGACTCATTGCCTTGGGCAAATCTGCTACAAAAGACCTCTTTGAAGTGCTAAAAAGCAAAGATGTCACCTTGAGGACTAAGGTGCGCCTGACACAAGCCATGGTGTTTTCAATCGCCTCCTATGCATGTGAAAGCTGGACAATGAATAAGGAAGGACCGAAGAAGAAATGACGCCTTTGAATTGTGGTGTTGGCAAAGAATACTGAATATACCATGGACTCATACTTTGGACACGTTATCAGGAGGGACCAGTCTCTGGAGAAGGACATCATGCTTGGTAAAATAGATGGTCAGTGAAAAACAGGAAGACCCTCGACGAGATGGATTGACACGGTGGCTGCAACAATGGGCTCAAGCATAGCAACGATTGTGAGGATGGCGCAGGACCGGGCAGTGTTTCGTTCCATTGTACATAGGGTCGCTATGGGTCAGAACCGACTCAACCTCACCTAACAACAACAACAGTGTTTGGAAGAAGTACAGCCAGAACTCTCCTTAGATTCTAGGATGGCGAGACTTTGTCTCATATACTTTGGACATGTTATCAGGAGGGACTAGTTCCTGGAGAAAGGACATCATGTTTGGAAAAGTAAAGGGTCATCGAAAAAGAGGAAGACCTTCAAAGAGATGGATTGACACAGTGGCTGCAACAATGGGCGCAAACATAGCAACGATTGTGAGGATGGCTCAGAAGTGGGCATCCTGTTTTACATAGGGTCGCTGTGAGTCAGAACCAACTTGATGGCACCTAACAACAACAACCTGGTTTGGTTTAAAGAAGACTTCAGTGGATATTTTTGATTTGAGGTTTAAAATTTAAAGATGATCTCTCAGTGCAATAATATCGGGGGTTCATTCAGCCTCAATGGCTTCAGGAAGTCTAGATTCCATGAGAATTTAAAATTTCTATTCCACATTTTCACCCCCTTTTGATAAGAATTCTGCTCTAGAATCTTTGATGAAAAGGTTTAGTAATGGTAGCTGGGCACCATCCAGTTCTGGTCTCGTGGCAAAGGAGGCGGTTGTTCCCATCAACCATTTTTTATTGTGTAATTTTTCTTTTTATTATTGAGTCGTAAGTATTCTTTATTCTAGACGCAAGTCCCTTATTAGATATATGATTTGCAAATATTTTCTCCCATTCTGTGGATTGTCTTTTCACTTTTTTAAAAATAATTTATTTAGCCATCAACCACTTTTAGTTTTAATAAGACTCCAATGAAGTAGGTAGGTTATACAAGTGGGGAATCTGATTCACACGGTGGCTGAATCGATGAAGCCAAGTGGCTTAGCTCCAGACTCCACGCCTGTGCAACACCCCGGCAGGAAACTACAACTCCCGCGATGCCCCGCGCGAGATGCACGGGCGGCCGGACTACAATTCCCAGACTGCCCCGCACCGCGGCGCGGCGCGCGGGCGGGCGGCAAGCGGCGCCATCTTGGCCTCGGCGGCGCCGGATTGAATGAGCCCGCGGAGTCGCGCGCCGCCGTCGTGAGCACAGCCCGAGCCCTGCCGCCAACGCCGCCGCCGCCATGGCCACGCCGCTGTCCACCCGCGCGGGCGGCGGGCCCGCCACGCCGCTGTCGCCCACGCGCCTGTCGCGGCTGCAGGAGAAGGAGGAGCTGCGGGAGCTCAATGATCGCCTGGCGCACTACATCGACCGTGTCCGCGCGCTCGAGCTCGAGAACGACCGGCTGCTGCTCAAGATCTCGGAGAAGGAGGAGGTGACCACGCGCGAGGTAGGAGGGGCCGCGGGCGAAGCCGGGGGATCTCGGGGACCCGCGGTGCGGCGTGCAGACAGGGGACGCGGGGTGACCCCAGAGTGAGGGGTGCAGACTGAGGTCCCCGGGGAATTTCAGGGGCTCGCCGGTGAGGGGTGCACATTGGGGGTGTCGGGATGTTTTGTGGCCTCTGAGTGAGGGGTACAGACTGAGGTTCCTGGGGAATGTCAGGGGCCCCTGGTGAGGGGTGCAGACTGGAGGTCCCAGGGATGTGGGTGGCCCCTGAATGAGGGGTGCAAACTGGGGGTCCCCGGGGAATCTCGGGGGCACCTTGGTGAGGGGTGCAGACTAGGGGGTCCCGGGGACCTGGGGTGGCCCCTGAGTGAGGGGTGCACGCTGAGGCAGGCCCTGCCCTCCAAGGAGCCCCCAGGACATTTCGGGGGCCCCCTGGATGAGGGATACAGACTGGAGGGGGCTCCGTCCTCTGAGCGGTTCTCAGTGGGCCTGGGGGGTGGGCCCTGAGTGAGGCGTGCTTACTGAGGTAGGCCCCGCCCTCTGAGGGATCCCCAGGGGATTTCGGGGCCCCTTGAGTGAGGGGGTGCAGCCTCGGGTATGCCTTGTCTATGGTAGGATACCGAGGAGATCTTGAGAACCCCCCTGACCGGCACTTAAAGGGTGTGAGCAAGGGTAGGCCCCGCCCCTATGGGAGTGGTGCGTTTTCAGGGGTGAGTCTGGGTGTCTTTGGGTGTCTTGGGGGGAATTTGGGGGATCTCTGGTCCCTGGGGAGTCTGGGGCCTCAGACCCTTTGAGGGGGCCCTGAGGTGGGGTGGAGGGTCTTGCGAGCTCCCTGGTGTGGGTCACATGGTCTCAGTTCGCTGTGGAACTTTGGAGGGGTCCTGTGTTGAATCCTGGGGCATTGGTGATTGAGGTGGGGACTGGGCAGTAACTCTGGTCCTGTGGGGTCCTGGGGGTGATGGGGGTCCCAGGGGAGTGGGTCTGATGCCTCAGGGGTCCCACGGGAAATCTGGGAGGTCCTCGTTTGGGCCTTGGGGGGCATCAATAACTGAGGGGCAGGAGCTGGGTAGGCCCTGCTGGAGGGATGTGAGGGGAGGGGGAGTTTTGAGGTGCGAAGATCCAGTGAGAAGTTTTGGGGCTCCAGACGAGCCCCAGGGGTTCACTGCTGGTCGAGGGAGAAGGGAGTAGGAGAGCCCGGCCCCCTAAGGGGGTTTGAGGGTGGGCGTGTCTCGGGGTTCCTGGGTGGGGTCTGGTGGGGGCATGGCCAGGAACCTGGCCCCCCAGGCAACTCTCTTCCCGTGGCCACACCCCACCCAAGAGTTAGGTGCTCAGAGTGAGGAGGCCTGGGAGAAGAACCCACTGCGTTCTTCCTCCCCAGGTAGGTTTTTTTGGGAGGTTCATCCAGCCTCCAGAGACTCTGGATTCCACGAGAAAGTGAACTTCTTTTGAGAACATAGGTCCCCAGAGCCAGGCGAGGCACCAAGACTGACTGAGGACTCCGAGCCTTGGCTTCTCTATCCGGAGAATGGGCAAAGGGCCGACCTGCCAGGGAGGCTGCTAGGGGAGTGGTCCTCTCAGAGAGCCACTTGCCCTCTGCGTGACCTTGCGCGAGCCCTTTAATGTCTCTGGTCTCTGTCCTAAAATGGGAATCATCTCAATGTGGTTCTGTTCCTGCCTTGTCGTCCCCGGGTGCGGGGACCGTCCGTAGGGGGATGCTGTTGGCGGGGCAGGCAGGGCGATGGACCTGTGCGCCCCAGGAGCCCTGAGCACTAGGGGGTGGTGGAGGAGCCGCAAACCTGCTGCGGGTCGGGGTGGGGGGATGCTGGGACCGTGGAGTGGTCAGTGTGGGCTGAATTGAGGGAGTCACCCCCAGCGGCCTTGGTGGGCATCTGGACAGGTGGGCAGGGCAGGGCGCAAGTCCTGGCAGGCAGTGGGGGAGGGTGGGCAGGATGCACCTGTAGGGGCCTGGAAGGTGGCAGCAGCCCAGGGACGCAGGTGTGTCGTACAGAATACTTTGCCCTTTACCTGCAGAGCAGCACTTCTCATGGGAGTCTGCCCCCAGGGGACACTCAGCCAGTCTGGAGACTTTGGTTGCCCCGGCTGGTGGGGGGGCGGTGCCTCTGGCATCCAGTGGGTGGAGACCAGGGATGCTGCTCAACACCCCACAGTGCTCAGGACAGCCCCACCCCAGAGAACAGTCAGGCCCCAAATGTCCACCCATTAAAAAACCCGTTGCTGTCCAGTTGATTCCGGCTCACAGCCACCCTATAGGGCAGAGCAGAAACGCCCCATAGGATTTCCAACGAGCAGCGGGTGGATTTGAACTGCCGACCTTTTAGTTAGCAGCCAAACGCTTAACCACTGTGCCACCAGGGCTCCACAGTAGTGGAGAAACTCCGTGAATTATTTGGGAAAAAAAAAATTGAGTTGGGTCCCTGCTCACAGTGTACACCAGGATAAACCCCCACTGGGTCAGCTGGTGTAAACCAGGAGACCCTCCAGCTCCTGTGATTCCCCTCCTCTCTCCTCCCCACTCAGTGTGTGGATTTAAATGTGGGCAGCATCCTAGGACGTCAGGAGGTCAGATGATTATGGGATGCAGAGTCTCTTGGGGGTCAGTGGAATCCCCTAACCCAGGGCTTCTCACTGCTCCCAGGGGACACGTCCAATGTCTGGGGACATTTGTGGGTGTCACAACTGGAGGGCTGCTATGGGCATCGAGTGGTGAAGGTCAGGGATGCTGCTCGACACCCTACGGTGCCCAGGACAGCCCACCCTAGAGAAGGATCTGGCCCCCTGTCAGCAGTGCCAGGGGTGGGGGAAACAGTGTCGGAGAGCCTGTTGTTAAGGAATGCTTTGAAAATGTCATTAAATATTTTACAGGCATAACATGCTTGTAATAAAAATTCAGTTCAGGTGCAGGGGTCAAATGAAAGGGTCCCTGCCCTGCCCACGCACAGAATGTATGGCACGCTTCCCCCTTTTCCTGCTTGTTAACATTCTCTTTCACACATAGCCATGCCCCAAAGCAGGATCGCGTGTAGACTCTAGACCTCCTCCGTTTGGCATTGGTTGGTCTCGCTGGGTGTTGTGGACAATGCCGCGGTGAGTAGCCACGTGCTGATAAATGGTCCTAAGGGGCTTCTGGGAAGGCGGAGGGGTGGGGAGCCTGCCAGGTTTGTGCTCGGGAAATGTATTCATTTACTGCTGGGACAAAATGTCACAAACTAGGTGGCTTGTAAGTACAGGAAGTTCCTGCCTCCCCGTGCTGGAGGCAGGAGCGTGAGTTTAGGCGTTGGCAGGGCACACTCCCTCCGAAGGCTCGAGGGCAGGATCCTTCCTCGTCTCTCCCAGCTCCTGGGCCCTGGCGTTCCTCAGCTTGTAGCTCCAGCTTCCCGTGGCCTGCCTTCCTGTGTCTCTGTGTCTCTGTTGTATAAGGACACAGTCACAGGATCAGGGCCCACTCTACTCCCTGTGACCTCCTGTTAGTTTAACTAATAACCTCTGTGAAGTCCCTGTTTCCAAGTAAGGCCACAGTCACATGTACTGGGGTTAGGGCTTAGCGTTTCTTTTGGGGGGATGCATTTGACCCCATAACAAGAAGGGTCACTGGCTGCTGGGGTAGGGGTGAGTGGGAGCAGGGCTGGAGGCGGCCTGCTTACACCTGCCCAGGTGTGAGGCTCTGAGGGCTGGGGACAGGAGAGTTCCTCCTTGGGGAGCCTGCCACCGCCCAGCTGGGTTTTCAGTTCAAGGGGAGGAGTGGTGGCTTCTGTTTCTCTCCCATCACCCGCCCGTGTCCTATTGCTGCCTGCTGGACGGGGCCCTGCTGTCCCTCCGGGCTGGGCCGGGGAGGTTTGAGGGTGGAAGCTGCACCTGAGACGTGCGTGGGCTGTCTCAGGCGAGCTGGCGTGCGGACCTGACCCAGAGCCGTGGTTCTCCCCGGGGGACATCTCCCAGCCAGCGCGCTGGCAAGTCCCCCCGCTGCGTGCTGCAGGATCCCAGGAAAAGGCCAGCTCTGCTACCCGAAAGCTCGCCGCTCCCCGCCTAGCCCACGTGTGCGAGCACAGTTGTCGGGATCCCTTGTATTGGCACCTGGCCCACTTGCATATTCCCCACTTCTGCGTCCCCGTCCCTGCTGTGACGCTCACGTGAGTGCAGACCAGCCGCCCGCTGGCAACACGCCTGTCGATCAGGTGAGCGAGTCTTTGTGAGCGCGCCAGCCTCGGCACCCTCCCGGGCGAGGCCCTGCGGCATCACCGCTGCCATAGATCGGAGGGCGGTATGGCGGTACACTCTCCGTGACGGGCCCGTTGTTGCTGCCGGGAGCTGCCGGGAGTCCATTCCTCCTCGTGGCGACCCCGCGTGTGCAGAGTGGAACTGCTCCATGGGGATTTCTTGGCTGTAATCTTTTTCTGTTTGTTTCATTTATTTATTACTCACTTTTTTAACGTTTTTTGTTGTTGCTGAGACTATACACGGCAAAAACATACACCAGTTCAAATCTCTCCATGTACAATTCAGTGACACTGATCACATCCTTCAAGTTGTGCAACCATTGTCACCCTCCTTTTCCGAGTTCTTCCCCATTAACATAAACTCATTGCCCCCTGAGTTGTCTAACTAATCTTTTGATTTGCTGTTGTCAATTTGATCCCGTGTAAATAGATCCTAAGGGAGGAGAACAATGCTCAAGGCAGACAGTCTTTGCTAGTTAAGCTAAACTATTGTTTGGTTTTAGGATGACTTCAGGGAATATTTTGGTTTAAGGTTTAAAGATTATCTCAGGGCAATAGTTTTGGGGGTTCATCCAGCCTCTGATTCCATGAGAATCTGAAATTCTGTTCTGTATTTCCTCCCTTTTGATCAGTATTCTTCTAAAGAATCTTTGATCAAAATGTTCAGTAATGGTAGCTGGGCACCATCTAGTTCTTCTGGTCTCATGGCAAAGGAGGCAGTCCTTGGCTGTAATCTTTACGGAAGCAGGTCACCAGGCCTTTCCTTCCACGGTACCACTGGCAGTTGGACTGCCAACTTTAGATTAACAGATGATCACAAACTGTTTGTGCCACCCAGGGAGCTTGTAAAGGGCCAGAGAGTCAATATTTCCTGCTTCGTGGGCCAGCCGGTATCTGTAGTGATCACTCACCTCTGTTGTCATAGAGAAAGTGGCTGTAGATACTACGGAAGTGACTGGGTGTGGCTGTGTGGCAATAAAACTTTATTTACACACTGAATTTGAATTTCTTATAACTTGCCTGCGTTGTGAAACATTTGCCACCCCTACTCCATTCCTGCCCTGCTCTTTAAAAATGTAAAGACCATTCTGGACTTGCAGCTGGACAAAAACAGGTGGTGGGCTGGAGTTTGCCGACTCCAGTTACAGATAACTGACTGCCTTATTAAGAGAAAAGACATAGGTACATGTGTGAACCCAGCCCACTGCCAGAAGAGCTTAAGAACTTAAGACAAGACTTCCTGGAATTGCAGAGAGGACGGCCCAGGAGCAGGGCCAGGACTGAGGTGAAGCATTCACCTGGGACACAAATTTAAGGAGGTGCCAGAAAACTCAGTCAGCAAGATAAATAATAGATGTTTTTTAGTTAGTAAACTTTATGCTTGAGAACAGTTTTAGGTTTACAGAAAATTTAGGAAGGAGGTACGGGGAGTTCATACACCCCACGCCGCAGTTTTCCCTGTTCGTAGTGTCTTACATTTAGTGTGGTCTGTTTGTCGCAATTAATGAACTGGTGTTGGTGCATTAGGAGCCATGGCGCTGCAACAGTTAAGCACTCGGCTGCGCACCAAAAGGTTGGCAGTTCGAACCCACCCAGCTGCTCTGTGGGAAAGACCTGGCCATCTGCTTCTATGAAGATTACAGCCTAGAAAACTGTATAGGGTAGTTCTACTCTGTAATATAGGGTTGCCACTGTGATTCGGGATCAACTGGATGGCACCTAGCAACACCGGTATGTTAAATTCACGGAAGTCTGCACTTTATTCAGATTTCCTTAGCTTTTCCCTGACATCTGTTTTCTGTCCCTGAACCCTGTCCGGGACTCACAGGACATTTAGTCGTCGCGTCTCCTGAGGCTCCTCTGGGCGGTGACAGTTTCTCAGACTGTCCTTGTTTTTGACAACTTGACGATGTATCTGTAGTAGTATTGTGTGGGCGGGCCACGTTGTGTTTATTCATTCATCTGTTGACGGACACTTGGGTGTTCCCCCTTTTTGGCGATTGTGACTCAAGCTGCTGTAAACGCTGGTGGATGGGTTTTTGTGTGGATGTGTGTTTCCATGTCTCCGGGTAGATACCTAGGAGCGGAATTGCTGGGCCGCGTGGTAACTCTGTGTCTAACTATTGGAGGAACTTCCAGACTTTTCTGCAGTGGCCACACCATTGCAGCACGTGAGGGCTCCAGATCTTTTTAAGCACGTGACGTGCGCAGCCCTGTGCCGGGGGTGGGGGCAAGGTGAGAACTGTCAGGCACACTCCTGGTGGACGTGTGTGACCTGGGAGGGAGGCAGCAACTCCCAGGCAGGAGGGTTGGGTGAGGACAGGATGGGGCTGGTGGGGTCTTGGGCAGGTGGGGAAGCGTCCGAGGTGGGCCAGCCTGGGGTCCCTGCGGGGGGCCGCTTTAGGGGCCCTGTGTGCACGGGGTGTCAAGCGCCCGACGCTGACTGCACTGTGGGTGTCAGCACGTGTGGTGGCTGGCTTGGGATGGCTTCTCTCGTCCTGGTGGCTGAGCCGGCGTGTCTGCCAGCTGCCCGGATGAGGGTACTCAACGCCTGGGAGCTGCCTGTCCTGAGCCGCCCTGGCTGGCCCAGCCCCTGTGGGATGGGCAGCTGTGCCGAGGGGCAGCTGCGGGGCTCTGACCCCGGCCCCAGCAGGTGAGCAGACGGCACATGGGGACAGTTATCAGCCAGCCACCCTGGCTTGCGGGAGACAACACCTAGAAGGTCTGTCCTGCTGGCCTGGACCACAGCGGGTGAGCCAGGCCCTCCCCTCCCTCCTTGTGGGGTGGGGGACAGAAGGGGTGGGGGTGGGTTGTGGGGGAGGGGAGGGTGAAACCCGAGCCGGGCCTGGCAGTGGGTGGCCCAGCCTGGCCTGGTGACCCCCGTGAGCACCAGGGGGTGGAACGGGCAGGGTCCCCAGAGATGGCCCCCCCGTGAGCCAGTGTCCTGTTACTGTCCTCCATTGTCAGAGGCACCACCAGTTGCAGAAGGGCAGTGCACGCCTTGGGAGCACTGCTCGCATCGAGCAGGTGGAGACCGGGGTGCTGCCTGAGCCAGGGTTGGGCTCCCTTACACCGCGGCACTGCCTGCTGCCATGAGCTGGTCGGGAAGCGGACGCGTTATTCCCGAAAGCTCACAGCAGAGGAGATGGTGGCTGTGGCTGGTGGCTGTTCAGGGTGACCACCCCTCCTGCCTGGGGCCCTTGATCCTGTGGGGGCTGTGAGTTGAAAGAGGGGATCCAGAAGCCCCTGGCCGAGTGTCCTGGGGCCCTGTGACAGTACCACAAAGTGGGGGGCTTCAAACAGCAGACGTTCATTCTCTCCGTTCTGGAGGCCTGGAGTTGGGATTCAGGGTGCGGGCAGGCAGGACCGCCCTCCCTCCCGAGGCTCTAGGGGAGGGTCCTTCCTTGCCTCTCCCAGCTTCGGGTGGCCCTGCCTTTCCTGGGCTTGTGGCTGCGTCTTCACATGGCCATCTTCCCTGCGTCTGTCCTGCTTATAAATTCACCAGTCATGGGCTTAGGACCCTCCCTGCTCCAGCGTGACCCCGTTAACCCAGCCGTAACATCTGCACGACCCCGTTTCCAAACAAGGCTGAGTTCACGGGGACAGGTGAGAACTCCAGGACATCTTTTTGAGGGGCACAGTTGTAACCGTGCCGCGTTGGGGCCGCGTGGTGTCCACATGCCGCCTTCTGCCCGTGTGACGAGCCTGTCCCAGGGGTTGTGCAAGCGACTGGCATGTGGACGGCGCCCAGCAGCGTGGCCACAGGGCGTGCTGTTCGCGGGAAGACTCATCTCTTGGCCCCTCACTGCCCCTCGGCTCCTGTCCCCCCAGGTGAGCGGGATCAAGGCGCTGTATGAGTCAGAGCTGGCGGATGCCCGCCGGGTCTTGGACGAGACAGCGCGGGAGCGCGCCCGGCTGCAGATTGAGATCGGGAAGCTGAGAGCCGAGCTGGAGGAGACCAACAAGAGGTGAGAGCCCCCCACTGGGGGTGCTGCCTGATCTGGGGCCTGCATCTGAACCAGGCCTGGTGACCGCCAGGCACTGAGCCTCACACTGGGGACACTGCCCCATCCAGGGTCCCCACCTGAACCAGGCCTGGTGACTGCCAGGTGCAGTGAGCCTCACAACTCCTGGGCCTCTTGTGGGTACACCTCTGTCCTCAGATGTCCTTTATGAAGCAGTTCTGCCCTGCCTGCTGGGACAGTTGAGCATCTGATGTATTTCACCAGCGTCCGTCACCAGCCATTTCGGCCGACCCCATTGTTCAGCGGTGAGGGTAGTGGTGGTCAGTGGTAGAATTCCCGCCTTCCATGCGAGAGACCCAGGCTCCATTCCTGGCCAGTGCAGCCCACATGCAGCCTCCACCCATGGTCATTGGAGGCCTGTGTGTAGCTCTGATGCTGAACGGGTATCAGCGGGGCTTCCAGACTAAGACACGCTAGGACGATAGGCCTGGTGATCGACTTCCAAAGATCAGCCCATGAAAACCCTGTGGGTCACCAGGGCCCCATCCACAGCCAGTCACGGGATGGCACAGGACCGGGCCGTGTTCGGTTCTGCGGCGCGTGGGGTTGCTGTGAGCCGGTCCCCCGTGGCGGCTGGCAACAGTTGTTCACCGTGACGGCCTCTTCGGGTGTCAGACGCAGCTCTTCCCACGGGCCTGGAAGGGGGGCCCCCCGATTCTGGGCACGGTTTTGCAGGCTGCTGTTTGAAACAACAGCCACAAGGAAAGGAACGTGGAGTCAAAAGACACCGGGTAGGATGACATGAACCTCTAGGCTGTACCGTTAACTTAAGGCCTCAGTCTCGACTCAGGGCTTTCTGTACTCTGCCTGGGGTCCCTGCTAACCAAAAGGTTGGAGGTTCGAACCCACGTAGAGGCACCTCATAAGAAAGGCCTGGCCATCTGCTTCCAAAAAATCAGTCATTGAAAACCCTGTGGAGTGTAGCTCTACTCTGACACGCACGGGGTCACCAGGGATCAGAGTCGACTCCACGGCCGCAGGTACGCTCCCCACGAACACACTTTTTCTTTTTAACTGTTGCTGGCCTTGGTACTGAAAGAACAGTGTGTGCCTTCCTTGATTTCCATTCTCCCTCTGAGAGCCCTTCCAGAGCAGGAAAGGGGTGGGGTGTTCTAGACGCTCTCTCGCCAAGCCCTCAAGTGCACATTGGCTCTGTCCCACGCTTGCAGAAGGTGTCTCTGGGTGCCGCTGCCCCCTGCTGGGGGGAGCAGTGAAAGACCTTTCTATCACAGGGTGCCTGGGGGGGTTTGCTGCCTGCCCCTGCACTGGGGTCACCAGGAGGTGGGGAGCAGGCTTCGCAAGGTTAGGAAGCTCTGCCAGGGGCTGTTCAATGCTGGAGGTATGAGAGGACCGATCTGTGGCCAGAGAGACAGCCAAGGATCCCGTTCCCAGGGATCTCTGGTGCCTCAGAGCAGCCTCCAATGAATGGTGGGTGGGCGTCCAGCCCCCTCCATCGGACCAGGCTCTGCCAGCCCAGAGTGGCTTCCCTGGACAGAGCTGGCCTCCCTTTGCCAAGAGGCCACCTGCCAGGTGGGCCTGTTCACCCTGCCCACCTGCACCGTCCCGGCTCCAGTAATAGAGCACTGGTGGGCCGTCATCCAGGGTCCCCAGGGACCGGGCAGGAGGGAGGCTGGGCCACTCATCCCAATGCGTCCCTTTGCATGGCATCCAGCTCCCCAACCGTGCTTGGTCCACAGGTGCACCCTGAGGCTCGCAGTCACAGCCGGAGCAGGCTGTGGGCCCTCCAGCACCCCCACTTTACTAGGCAGGTTTATTAGTGGGCTCTTTCTGACAGATGAGATTGAGTCAAAAAGGGATTTTGTTTCGACTCTTTTCTATGTTGGTTTACAACTATTTCTTGTATAATAGTTCCAGAGTTATACATGATGCGCCTCTCTTCCCCTGTTCGCAGAATGAGCACTCTGCCGTTTGTAAACACGTACTGAGTAGCTTTGCAGGGCAAGCCTTCACCTCTCCGCGTTCGCTTATAGCTCGGTCAGAAGTCCACGTGTGTCAAGAGCCTGCGCCCACGGTAGTCACCTCCTTTAGTAAGAGTGTGACTCAGGATACACCCCACATGAATCCTGCCTTTTTAACATATAGATGTTTAGGATTTACAACACATAAAATAAAGGATAATTACAAAATACCACAAAATGGGCAACAATCACACAATACTGGGAACCATGGCCTAGCCGAGCTGACACGTAGTTTTGGGGAAACAATTCAGTCTGTGACAATCTTGTAGCTTGTGTCAGTGCTTGAGTTTTGTTTATGGCTGAATAATATTCCACTGTGTGGAGGGACCACATGGTGTTTATCCGTCATCTGCTGACGGACGCACGAGTTATTTCCACCTTTTGGCGACTGTGAACAGCACTGCAGTGAAGTTGGCGTCCATGTATCTGAGTCCCTGCTTTTAGTTCTCTTGGGTACACACCGAGGAGCGGAATTGCTAAATCATGTGGTAATTCTGCGTTCAACTATTTGAGGAACCGCCACACTGTTTTCCACGGAGGCTGCACCATTTTACCTTCCCACCAGCAATGGATGAGGGTGATACATTCGTTAATAAAAATCAACATTCTCCCTAAATGATCTCTTTTGTGTCCCAACCCACCAGGCCTTGAGTTCTCTGAGCCTCTGGGTTTGCTGGTGGGTGGTTTCCAGAGGGTGAAGAGTAGGTTTCCGCTTTGGCAGGCAAGGTGGGACAGTCCCATCCCCTGGTGAACCAGTGGGGTTCCCCGGGCACGAGACCAAGCCGAGTTTGCACTCAAGTGTCCTGCGCAGGGTCCGAGGCCCTCCCTGTTGCCAGGACGGCTGCCTGTGCCGTGCACCCAGCTCACTGGCCCTCTTTGTCTTGTAGCGCCAAGAAGCGGGAGGGCGAGCTCACAGTGGCCCAGGGCCGCGTCAAGGACCTGGAGTCCCTGTTCCACCGCAGCGAGGTGGAGCTGGCCGCCGCCTTCAGTGACAAGCGCGGTCTTGAGAACGACGTGGCCGAGCTGCGGGCCCAGCTAGGCAAGGTAAGTCGGGCAGCACCCGGCGTCTGCCCCAGTTAGAGATGGGGCCCTCTCCGTGGGGCCGAGCATGGTGTGTGGAGGGGGTGGCCTGAGGAGCTGGGCAGAGAGACAGGCCGTCCTCTCAGTGCGTCACCTGGTGTCCAGGCAGAAGACGGCCACGCTGTGGCCAAAAAGCAGCTGGAGAAGGAGACGCTGATGCGTGTGGACCTGGAGAACCGCTGCCAGAGCCTGCAGGAGGAGCTCGACTTCCGCAAGAACGTGTTTGAGGAGGTGAGTGTCCAGGGCCGTGTGAGTGTCACAGACGCGGGGCCTCGGACAGCAGATTCGTCCTCTGTCACTTCTGGATGCTGTGAGTCTGAGGTGAAGATGTCGGCGGGGCTGCGCTCCCTCTGGGGCTCAAGGGGAGGTCCTTCCTTGCCTCTCGCAGCTTCTGGGGCTCCGGGCGTCTGTGCCTGTGACTGTCACTCAGTCTCTGTCTCTGTCGGCAGGTGGTCTTGGGTCTCATATAAGGAGACTGGACATTGCATGTAGGGCCCACACAGATAATCAGGATGATCTCTTCGTCTTGAGATCTGCCACCTGATCTCATCTGCAAAGACTTTTTCCAATAAGGTCACAGTCAGGTTCTAGGGGTTAAGACATGGACATATCTTTTGGGGGACACCATTCAGCCCACCGCAGGGGTCTCCCTATCGGAGGGGCAAGGCCCACCTGTCCCCCAGCTTCCTGGGCCTCCCCTAGCTCCCCTCCTAGCTGCCTTCTCCCACCTACAACCTCCTGCTCTCTGTGGGCCTCTGGCCCCTTGGGGTGTTTGGGTGTGACTGGGAGTGACTGGGGGTCCCTGGCTGGTGAACTGGAGTTTCTGTGCTATGGCATAAGAGCCCTGGCATCCCTGGGTCCCCTCTTGCTGGGGAGCCCCAGGCCTCGGGCCCTCCCCTGGGCCCGTCACAGAGCCCATTGTGTTGTCATAGCCCAGAACAGAACCCCTGGGGCAGGGCACGCCTTTAGGGCAGTCACTGCCCAGGAGAGCTGCTGGCTGGAAGGATGTCAGCGCAACTGAGGAGCAACTCCCGGCTCCGACCAGGCCCAGTGGGAGTGGTCAGGGAGGAGGCCGTGGGCAGAGGTGCGCAGGAACCCGTGGGGGAACCCATGCAGGGACCCTTGAGGGAACCTGTGAAGGACCCTGTGACAGACCCCGAGGGGGAACCCCTGAAGAGACCTTTGAGGGAACCTGTGACAGACCCTGTGAAGGACCTCGAGGGGGAACCCATGAAGGACCCCGAGGGGGATCCCATGGAGGACCCCAAGGGGGAACCCATGAAGAGATCTTTGAGGGAACCCATGAAGGATCCTGTGAAGGACCCCGAAGGGGAACCCATGAAGAGACCTTCGAGGGAACCTGTGAAAGACCCTGTGAAGGACCTCGAGGGGGAACCCATGAAGGACCCTGTGAAGGACTCCGAGGGGGAACCCATGAAGAGAACTTCAAGGAAACCTGTGAAGGACCCCAAGGGGGAACCCGTGAAGGACCCCGAGGAGAAACCCATGAATAGAGCTTTGAGGGAACTCATGAAGGATCCTGAGGGAAAGAGACTCTTGAGGGGACCCTTGAAGGAACTTATGAGAAGACCTGAGAGGGAACCTGTGAAAGACCCTGAGGGGAAACCTGTGAAGGAACCCAAAGGGGAACCTGTGGAGGACCTTGAGGGGGAACCCAGGAAGCACCCTGAGGGGAAACCTGTGAAGGAACTCTTGAGGGGACCGATGAAGGATCCTGAGGGGGATCCCTTGAAGAACCCCAAGAGACAAACCATGAAGAGACCCTTGGGGGAACCTGTGAAGGACCTCAAGGGGGAGGAACCCATGAAGGACCCTGAGGGGTTACCTGTGAAGAACCCCAAGAGGGAACCTATGAAGGACCCTGAGGGGAAACCTGTGATGAGACCCTTGAGGGAACCCCTTAAGGAACCCATGAGAGGGCCCATGAAGGAACAATGGCCTGTGAGGGAACCTGTGAAGGGACCCATGAAGAAGCCCTTGAGAGGGCCCATAAGGAGACCTGTGAAGAGAACATCAGAGGAACCTGTGAAGGGGGCCATGAAGAAACCCAAGAAGGGACCTGTGAAGAGACCCATAAGGAGAGCCAGGAAGGGATCCTTGAAGGGGCACCTGAGAGGAACTGTGAGGAGCTCCTGGAGGAAAACTGTGAAGGGTGTGGCACACGGAGCCGTGAGGGACACCATGAAGGTGGGTTATTGTTTTTATAAACCAATCACACAAGGAACACGTGACTAGATTCCTGTGGTAAGTTATTTGTAAAGCGAAGCTTTCCTGCCTCCCTGAGCCCTGAGAAGCCACCCTCCGCTCTGTGCTCGGCCCTCCTGCTACTCGCTCTCGGCCTCCCGGGGGTTGGGCCACCTTCTCTTGTGGCGCACGTGCTGCCGATAGGCTGTTCTCCAAGCCTGTGCAGGGCGGGACAGCACCCTGAGGACAGGGTTTCCGGTTGACTGGTTCATTTAGGCACCAGTGTCACTGTTGCGTCCACCCTGTCCTGAGGCTAGGTCTCTGCTGTGCCTTGGTGCCTGGGACAGGTTCATCCAGTAATTCCTTCCTTCCTTCTTTTCTCTTTCTTGTAAATAGTAACAGCTTGATTGCTATAAAATGACGTACCACAAAGTCCACCCTTTGAAGTGTGATTCAGCGTCTTTAGTATGTTCAGAGCTGTTCAACCATCATCACTATCTAATTCCAGAACGTTCCATCATGCTAAAAGGAAATCCTGTACCCATTAGCAGTCACTCCCCATCCCCTCACTCTCATCCTCTAGGCAACCACTAGTCCACTTTCTGTCTCTCTGGATTTGCCTGTTCTGGACATTTCCTGTCAATGGAATCAGACAATACTTGTCCTTTTGTGTCTGGCTTCTCCCACTGAACGTCGTGTTTTTGAGGTTCACCCATGTTGTAATGTGTATCAGAGCTTCATTCCTTTTGTGGCTGAGTAATATTCCACTGTGTGGATGGACCACATTGTGTTTCTCCGTCATCTGTGGATGGACACCTAGGTTGTTTCCACTTCCCAGTGATTGTGAGTGATGCTCCTGTGTTTGGGTGTCAGTTGATGACCCCTGAATGAGTGACCAGGGTGGTTCCCAGCAGTCATTCTGTGCCTAGGTCGAGGCCACGGGTGGACTGGATGCAGCCCACTAGGGGTGGTCATGCCCAGCCCCTTTCCTGCCCTACCCTGCCCTCCTCTGGGGCCACCTCACAGGCTCGGGCCTGTCCCCCAGGAGGTGCGAGAGACCCGGCGGCGGCACGAGCGCCAGCTGGTGGAGGTGGATAGCAGCCGGCAGAAGGATTATGAGTTCAAGATGGCCCAGGCGCTGGAGGAGCTGCGCAGCCAGCACGATGAACAAGTGCGGCTGTACCGGCTGGAGCTGGAGCAGACCTACCAGGCCAAGGTGGGCGCGGGCGGCGGGACGTGGGTGGGGAGATGCGGGGGTGGGGGTGGGGGGACGCGGGCGGACGGGGGCGGGGGCGATGAGCAAGTGCGGCTATACTGGCTGGAGCTGGAGCAGACCTAGCAGGCCAAGGTGGGCACCGTGGGTGGGGGGACGCGAGCCGTGGTGATGAGCAAGTGAGGCTGTAGCACCTGGAGCTGGAGCGGACCTCTCCAGGCCCAGGTGGGCGTGGCCGGGCGTGGGCGGGCGGGCCTCCTGTCCTCCCTCCGGGCGGCGCCCCTGACCCTCGGTCTCGCCCCTGCAGCTGGAGAACGCCAAGCTGAGCTCGGACCAGAACGACAAGGCTGCCAGCGCGGCCCGCGAGGAGCTGAAGGAGGCTCGCGTGCGGGTTGAGTCCCTGAGCTACCAGCTCTCCGGCCTCCAGAAGCAGGTGACCCTGAGGGTCCCCCCTACCGAACCCCCCGGGAGGTCATGGACCCCTGCCCTGCGTGGTTGGTGAGGCGTGCTCCTTCCCCTCGCCGTGTCAGGCGGTGCCTGGCGACTCTGCGCAGTGGTGCCTGGCAGGTGCCCTTCCCTTCCGCCCTTGCCTGGCCCGGCCCGTTGTCCAGTCCCCCAGGGCTGTCCCGCTGACTGGCTGTCAGCCCTGACCTGTCTCCCCGCCCCTCGCAGGCCAGCGCGGCTGAGGACCGGATCCGGGAGCTGGAGGAGACAATGGCCGGGGAGCGGGACAGGTTCCGGAAGATGCTGGATGCCAAGGAGCGGGAGATGACGGAGATGCGGGACGTGATGCAGCAGCAGCTGGCCGAGTACCAGGAGCTTCTGGACGTGAAGCTGGCCCTGGACATGGAGATCAGCGCCTACCGCAAGCTGCTGGAGGGCGAGGAGGAGAGGTGGGCGCAGGAGAAGGCGCGGCCAGGGGAGGGGCGGGGCTTCCAGCCAAGGCCTTCGCTGGGGCGGGGCTGGCCCGGGGGGCGGGGCTGGCCCGGGGGCGGGGCTTCCAGCCAAGGCCTTCGCTGGGGCGGGGCTGGCCCGGGGGCGGGGCTGGCCCGGGGGCGGGGCTCCTGCTACCCACCGCTGACCCCACCTCGTCCCCACAGGCTGAAGCTGTCCCCCAGCCCGTCTTCGCGGGTGACCATCTCCCGGGCCACCTCGAGCAGCAGCAGCAGCAGCGTGTCCACCGCGGGGCGCCCGGGCCGCAGCAAGCGGAAGCGGCTGGAGGTGGAGGAGGCGCTGGGCTCGGGCTCCAGCGGCATCGGCACGGGCAGCAGCGCGAGCAGCGCCAGCAGCTTCCAGCTGTCCCAGCAGGCGTCCGCCACGGGCAGCATCAGCATCGAGGAGATCAACCTGGAGGGCAAGTTCGTGCAGCTGAAAAACAACTCCAACAAGGTGAGGGCCCCGTGTGGGGGAGGGGGGCGTGGGGTCTGGGTTCACGGGAGCACCATATCCGTGTCTTCCAGGACCAGTCTCTCGGGGTCCACTGTTGTGGGGGAGGCACGGGGTCTAGGTTCACAGGAGCTCTGTGTCGGTGTCTTCCAGGATCAGTCTCTGGGTAACTGGAAGATCAAGAGGCAGGTGGTGGAAGGGGACGAAATCGCCTACAAGTTCACGCCCAAGTATGTCCTGCGGGCTGGACAGACGGTTACGGTAGGTGGTGTGGGTTGCGGACTGCGGGGGGTGGTTGTGGTGGGAGCCAGGATGGTTGCTGGGCTCAGGAGGGTGACCAAGAGGGGCCACCTGTGGGGAGGTAGGAGGTGGCACTGGTGACAGCGCACAGGTGTTGGGCTGTGAGGTGGTAGGTGGGGTAGGGGTAGCAGGTTGGGGCTCAGTGGCAGGAGCCAGGCCGTCAGCAAGGCCGTGTGAGCCACGGCCGCCATATGGGACCCTCTGAGCCCTTCATGCCCTAAAGAGGAAGCTGAGGCACAGAGAACCTGTGTGACCTGGCAGGACTGGAGTTCAGGCTATCTGGACTGGGAGTGGTGGTCACAAGTTTGGACCTTGGAGCCCAGCAAGCTGCCTTTGGGACCCCATCTTGGCCCTGTTTGCTGAGAGCCCTTTACCACTCTGAACCTCAGTCTCTTCATCTGTACACTGGGCACCACAATCCATGGACCTGAGTATGGCTGGAAGGATTAAACGCCTTGGGTGTGGAAGGGCTGCATAGTAGGAGACACTGATGGGGGCCCTTTTTTGTGTCCTCAGGTGTGGGCAGCGGGAGCAGGGGTGACCCACAGCCCCCCTGCCACACTCGTGTGGAAGAGCCAGAACAGCTGGGGCACGGGTGTGAGCTTCCGGACGGTCCTGGTCAATGCTGACGGAGACGTGAGTGTGTGGCTGGGCGGGAGGTCTGGGAGGTGTGGTCACAGCACCTTTCACCTGTCTGGGCGTGGCCACTGCTGGCCCTCCCTTGTCCAGGCTGGCTGCTGGAGTCTGGGTGGACCCTGGGCCCTGCCTGGCCGCAGGTCTGCACACTGGGGCTTGCGCTGTGCTGCTGGAAGCGTCCTGGGCCTGGCTCCGCCGGCTGGTATAGCCCTGCCTGGGGTGTCCTGCAGGGGCGGGGTGCCCAGTGCTGCCTGGGGCGGCCCTTGGTGGTGGGGTGCCCAGCGCTGCCTGGGGTGGTGCTAGAGGGCAGGTGCCCAGCGCTGCCCAGGGTGGCCCTTGGGGGCGGGGTGCCCAGCCCTGCCTGGGGTAGTCCTGGAGTGCGGGCGCCCAGCGCTGCTGTCTCGTGCAGGAGGTGGCGATAAGAACCGTGACGCAGTCCTCGGTGCGGGAGACCGAGAACGGGGAGGAGGAGGAGGAGGAGGCTGAGTTTGGCGAGGAGGATCTTTTCCACCAGCAGGTAGAGGCCCGGTGCCCGCTCACCGCCGCTGGTCGTCGGGGGGTAGGGGAGTGCGCGTCCACCATGCACACAGCCATGTATACGCGCTCATGCACACACACGTAACTCACGCGCATTCACAGAGACACACAGATACCCATGGACACCCCACCCACACGTTCACATGTACACACACACCATACACACATGGGCACACGTACTCAGATGCACACACCCACATGCACACACACCCCAACCCACACACAACCATATATACTCACATGCAAACACACCTGACCACACACATGTATACTCACACACCCGCATCCCCTCTACACACATGCCATTCCTACCTACATATACACCCATATCCTACACACACATACGTGACCCTCCCCACAAACACCTGCATGTGGGCACACACTCTTGCGCGCGCACACACACACACACACACACACACACACTCTTGCAGACACGCGCCTGCGCGCACGCACATACCTGCACACGCACACACTCTGGCTCGTTCTCTGTGCCCCGGCCCCTCGGGGCTGCGGGGGCCCTCGGCTGTGTGCACACTCTGGTCACCTCGTTTGCTGTGCCCTGAGATACTGGTGGTTTTAAACACCGCTTTCGGGAGAAAGATGAAGAATCATAACCCTGTGAAGTGTACATACTGTAAGACTTCTGATCTCTGAAACTCACAACTGGGACGAGTGGGGTAGCTCCGCCGAGATGACAAAGACACAGAAGGTTCTGGAAATACAGATGCTTGTAGCTGAGCTGCTGACCCTGCCGTCTGGTCAGGAGCAGAGCTCCCTAGGGTGGCTCAGCCCACCTCCTCCCTCACAGGCAATGGGTGGGGCGCCCAGCCTCTTGCCAGCCTCCAGGGCTCCCCCTAACCGCTGCCACCTTCCTTCCTTCCAGGGGGACCCGAGGACCACCTCGAGGGGCTGCCGCGTGATGTGAACGGAACCCCCCTCATCTACACATCTTTCTCTGCCCAGAGCCACTGAAAACTATTTTTATATAATTGGCGTTCTTTAGTCCTTGATACATTTCTAGAGAATTTTTAAGCAACTGCCAGGACACGGGAGGGGTCTCTTTTGATCTCTGGCATCTGTGGGTTCCTTGGACCCTCCCTCCATCACCACTGTCCGGGGGTGCCGTTCGCCCCATTCCACCTGGTTGAATTTGAGGCGCAGGGCTGGGAACCTACAGGCTAAAGGGAGTTGGGCTTGGAGACCGGCGGACTGGCCTGGGGATCCGGCTGGGGGTTGGGAGGGGACAGGGACAGGCCCCGTGGGCCTCGCGGTGGACAGAGAACCCGGAACGGTTTAGGAATTCAGTACTCTTGTTTTCACTTTTAAGCTTTGGAAAACCAAATTCGGGCTCCAGGCTGTGGCCTGGGGGGACGGGTTACAGACAGGCCTGCCGAGTTTGGGGTTCTCTGGGTCAGCACCTCCCAGTCAGGTGTGGCAGCAGCTGGGATTCGGTGAGGCCCATGGGTCAGGTGTTTGCCACTTGGCCGGGCCTCCAAGGGTTCCCCGTCATTGCCGCTCTCACAGTTGGGGCAGCAGGTGGGGTTACTCCACCCGACGTATGGGGCGCTCTCCGGGCTGGGGGCCTCCTGAGGTTCTGCTTTTGGCTGCCTGACCCTCACGCTTTTGGGCCTTGGCTCTGGAGCTCCCTGTGGTTCCTGATGCTGCAGCTCCCACAGGGCAGGAAGGGAGGACACGGGGACGGGGGGCACACCATCCCTTGACTTGACACCGAGTCAGCAGAAAGGGTACAGCCTGAGGGTGCAGATTGGCCAGGCCGTCTTAATGACCGCAGACACCAGCGCCCCGCGTTTCAGACACGCGTCCACGTGGAATGCAGCCAGCGCCTGACGCCGCCTGCAGGAGGACCCGGCTGGGGGTGACCGTGCTCCCTTCCCCATTGTCCGGCTCTCCTGGCCTGTGTGGTGGGGCGTGCTAGCGCCACCTCCCCACTGAACGTATACACGCGCACGTATCAGTAGCGTATCTTCTGTCTGTAGCTTTCCTACTGAAATGGTGTTTCTCAGACAGACCTGCAGATGCCAGCTGGCCCCTAAATGATGGCTCCGGAGCCCCCCACCCACCCCACCCACATCCGCTTTTCCATTGACGCCCCTCCCACTCAGATACACAGAAGTTATTTTTTTAATGGATATTTATTTTTTTACATTGGTCAGTACGCAGATCGCTGGGATCCCGTGTCAGGGGCCAAGGACAGGCTGACAGCCCCCCGAGGGGGCGTCGTCATGGGCGGGCCTGTCTTTGCGGGCTCTGAGCCCCCAGACGGCAGACTACCTTCAGAAAGCGCAGCTTAAGTCTTAAAGATGCCTCACTGAGCCATGGGTGTGTGCTGTCTGCTGGATGGAGGGGTGATGGGGGAGTGCTTGCAAAATAGTTCTGCTTGCTCTGGGCGCCCCCAGTTGGCCTTCCACTTCCTTTGCTTCTGCTCTGCGCCCCCTCGGCGTCTGCCTTCCTTGGGGATTGCTCCTGGTGAAGGAGCCGAGGCCAATTCCAGGCCAGGAACAGGCCGCTGCAGCTCCTGTGTCTGGCTCTTGCCGGCTGCCCCGTGCTTTTAGAAGTCCTGGGCTCTCCATGGTGACCCCAAGCTCCCCAGGCCCACTGCATCTCTCCTTGTAGAAGGTGTGTGTCACCCAAACACTTCCTGGGGCAAGGCCCAGGCCCCTGAAAGCATCTGTATTCCACGTTGGTTTGCTGGGGTCTCCTGAAGCTGCATGGCTCCCCTCCCCACTGGCAGGGCAGAAACCATGTGGGCCTGATGTGCTGGCTTTAAGGTCAGAGAAGGTTCTGGAGGGTAGGTTCCTGGCAGCCCCCAGACACAGAGAAAGCTTGCACTGGGTTCAGTCTCTCCTTCCATGCGTTCCAGGAGCTGAAGCTGGTTCCTGGAGTTTGGGCCTGAGGTTCCCTGGGCTCAGGGAAAGGAGGAGGGGGCCCCCAAGTTCAGATGCCCGAGAGATGGGCTGGGCTGGGCCCCTGACCTGCAGCTCATCCCCAGGCCTGCGTCTGCCCTGCAGTTTTGTTCCCCACCCCAGTGTTGGTTCTCGTCCTCACTCCCGCCCCAAACAACCGCAGTTCACTGGCTGGGGTGGTCCGGGCACTGAGGGTGCCCTTGGCTGCGGGGGGGGGGGGGCTGGGTGGCAGTGGTGACTGGTGTAACTGATGGTGGTCGTTGGTAATCAAGAATTTGGAAGCATGGAGCTGAATCCGACTTGTAACATGTTGGCTGTGGCCTGGGAAGCAGAATTTGTACTTGTCCTCAAATACGCTTAACTTTATGCCACTTATGTGAACATGATTCTTTTGTATAAGCCCACATCATATGATTCTGAGCACAGTCCCTCTCTGGAAATGCTTCCAGTGAGGGAAGTGGTCGCTCCTGGGCCTGCGGGGCAGGGGCTGGGGAGGCCCGGGTGCCTGGGGATAACGCCCTTGGCTCCAGGGAGAGTCTGACCTAGGGTGGATCATGCAGCCATCTTCACAACGGCTTTCACTTGGGTTTGGCTTTAGCCACACTTCAAACTGCAGAGGTTCTGTTTATATGAAAAGTAACTGAGTGGGACAGCAGCCCTCAGGGACGTTGCTGCTTAAACGTCTTCAATCCCTGCATCGACGGAGAATCACAACTTGCAGAGAAATCGGGCTGCAGGAACGAGGGGCAAGGGGCTGGATCTCAGGTGGTGTCCGTGGTTTTTAACAAGATGCATGCCCAATGTGTGCTCCCGTTTTGTTTTCTTCCCAATGATTTGTAATACACGTTTTATGACTGGAAGCTTTTGTACAACACTCCAATAAACATTTTGATTTTAAGTTCTGCCTGAGTCTCCTCCAGCGCTGGGCTGCTGCCGCCGGAGCCTCTGCCTCTAACGAAGTGGGCGTCTCACAACCGCCCCCCCCCCAAAAAAAAATACCACTGGTGAGTGTAGACAGATCCCCTCCCCTTGCGTTGTCGGGCGTCCCCGCTACCCTGGCTTTCTGGGCACTAAACCAAAAAGCCCAAACCCATTGCCCTCCAGTCGATTCCAACTCATCGCGACCCTATAGGACAGAGTCGAACTGGCTCAAAGGGTTTCCAAGGAGCGGCTGGTGGATTCCAACTGCTGACCTTCTGGTTAGCAGCTGAGCTCTAACCACTGCACCACAACGGCTCCTCTGGGCACTAAGTCCTCGCCACTTATTTACAGGCGCCGCAGACACTGTTCTGTGACCTGCACTTTGTCACGTGGTGTAACAGCCCTAGGGATCCTCCCCAATGCAGCACCGTGTAGACGCGCCTTCTGCGCACGCGCGAGAGACGGGGTGGCCCGGTGTGGAGCGACCGTCTGCGCATGCAGAGTGCGCCCCGCGTGTCCTCGGGCAGGCCTGGGCGCGCGCGGCCTTGTGGGAGTTGTAGTCTGACCCGCCCGAGCCCTCTGTGACTTCATTCCCCGTGGTGCCGCGCGCAGCCAGCTTCCGGCGCAGGTACGGGTCGGTGCACGCGGCTGCGAGCCGGTTGACTTTGCGGAGCCATGGAGGGAGGCTTCGGCTCGGATTTCGGGAACTCCGGGGGCGGGAAACTGGACCCAGGGCTCATCATGGAGCAGGTGAAGGTGCAGATTGCCGTGGCCAACGCGCAGGAGCTGCTGCAGGTCGGTGGCCGGGCCGGGGGGCGGAGTGAGGGGGGCGGGGACCCCCTGGAGTGGGGGTCGCGGCTGAGGGCCCGCGTGTCTCTGCAGAGGATGACGGACAAGTGCTTCCGGAAGTGCATCGGGAAGCCGGGGGGCTCCTTGGACAACTCGGAGCAGGTGAGGGCTGTCTGGGGTCGGCGGGCGGTGGTCGCAGAACCTGGGACCCGGCGGGAGGGCCTGTGCGCGTGCGCGGACGGGCAAGGCGGCGTGGTGGAGGGCATTGCGCGTGCGCAGTCCGTCGTCTCGGGGCAACCACCTGGGAGGCGCGCAGGTGGGTAGTCCTGGGGCCGGCGCCTAGGTGCCCGCCCTGAGCCCCCTCCCCGCCTCCAGAAATGCATCGCCATGTGCATGGACCGCTACATGGACGCCTGGAACACCGTGTCCCGCGCCTACAACTCGCGGCTGCAGCGGGAGCGAGCCAACATGTGACCGGGACCCCGCCAGGAGGCCCCCCAGCTCTCTGTGTCCTTTTCCATAAACGTTCTTTGAGAATGACAGCAGGAGGCGGGGGCCGTGTGGGAACTGCCCCGTTGATGGGCGTGGGAGCCCGCCGCGAGTGTAGCTTGTGTAACGTGTGTCTTGGGGATCCCTGTGCCTTCCCAAAGTGCTGGCAGCCCAGGGCAGTCGGTGGTCCCTCCCTGATGTGCTCCCTAGGGTCAGCCTAATGCCCCAGGCAGGGGATCCTTGTTTGGACCTTGGAGGGGGGCGGACTGAACCCACCTGAGCCGGGATCTCTTGAGACAGTGAAATAAATTGCTCAGAGGGGCCCCTGTGCGTTTTGTCCGTAGGTCTCTGTGGGAGCCAGTGTGGTGTACCTGGAACCCCCACCTAGATTGGGCTACACCTTTTCTTGGGGAGGGGGGAGGGTCCTCCGTGTTTCCCCTCCGAGCCCCGGGGCTGCCAGGTAGGGTGGCAGGGAATGTCTTCAACGAAAAGGGGAGAATCGACTCCACTGCTGCGGGTTTGGTTTGGTTTGGTTTAAGGGGAGATCTAAAAAGACGTGGCTCAGAAGGTTAAGACCACACTTCGTGCCCCACAGTCCTTGCTTGCTTCTGTCTCCGCATCCTCCCACTTCCAACCCTGGTCGGAGTCAGGAAAATGCAGAAGTAGCAAGCTGGGAACTGGGGGCTGTGTTTATTGGAACAAAATCTGCAAAACTGCACCCCCTCCCAGCAGCCCCCTGCGCCCCACCATGTCATGACCCCTGCATGACCCCAGCAGGCTAGGTGACGCTTGCTGCCTGCCACCTTCAGGTCCTTCGTCCGAGGCCCCAGCATCTGGGCATCAGTCAGTCCTGGATGTTCTGTCCGATCCAGCCTCTCACAGCTGCCACCCGAGTGTAGACACCGGGGAAGTGGGGACGCCCGCAGCCGTAGCCCCAGCTGGTGACCCCTGTTAGCACCCACCGGCCTGAGGGCTCCCTGCAAGCCAGGGGTCCCCCAGCATCACCCTGAGGGGGGCAGAGAGGAAAGGGCACTCAGGGCACACCAGTGCCCCGTCCTTCCCCTGCAGCCCTCGTGCACTCCGGGGGTGTTGTCCAGTACAGGAGGATGGCCTGGGCCCCCATGTGACCCTGAGTGAGTGCCCCTATGAGTCTCGTTTTTACTATCTGGGAAGTGGGTTCCATGCTCCGATGACTCATTGGTCCAGCTGATGGACACACCCTGCTGGGGGCAGTGATGGGCATCAGGCAGACCCAATCCTGCTTTCTCTGAGTGATGACCTAGCCTGGCACTGCTGTGGCAACTGTGACGTCCAGTCTGGTCCAGGGTCCTGCCAAAGAGTCCACCACTGTCCCCTGGTCTCCCTGGCAGAAGGGGGCTGCTCAGTTACTCTAGGAGTATTGGTCGGGTGGTGGTGCCCACGGTGGCTACCCAATAAACAATGGTGTCCAATGAAAATTCTTCCCAGGTGGAAAGAGGCCGTGCTTGGTCCAGGGTAGCTTACAGTGGGAGGGGGCAATGGCGCCTGGTTGGCTGGTGGACTTTGGAGGATCAGGGACCCGCCTTCCTCCCGGTGTGGACCTGGGCCACACAAAGCCTCTGTGTCCTGAGCAAGTGCGCCGGGTGGGGCCGTGACCCCGGGCGGGAGGGACGTGGGGGCGCTCACCGAGCAGCTGTCCACGCCGCCCTGCGGGGAGCCGGCGCACAGCATGCGGCTGCTGATCTGCACCGGGTAGAAGCGGCGGCACGTCTGCTCGTTCAGGAGTCGCACGGCTGCCTTCTGCAGCTGCCGCGCCATAGCGCCTGCGGGTGACACGGGCCAGGTGGGGCCGCGGGGACCCACTCCAGGGGATCGCCTCCTCAACATCCGCGGGGCCTGGGCTGGGAACCTCTCCGGGGGCACCCCGATCGCTTCCCTCCCGCGGGGCCCGTGCTGGGGCTCGCCGGGATCTGGCCTCGCCGACCCCTGCCTACCTCCCTCGCGCACCGAGCCCCAGCCGGTTATGACGCAGCGCGCGCCAGCTGGGGGCCGCAGTGCGGGCTCGGGCAGGCAGATGGGTCGCACCAGGCGGCTGCGGCGCACGGGCCCCGCGAGCTCCAGCAGCGCCACGTCGTAGTCGAGCGTGTAGAGGTTGTAGAAGGGGTGCTTGTAGATGCGCGCCACGCGCTCCAGCTGCCCATCGGCGCCGCTCAGAAACGGCGTGCCCAGGAAAGCCGCCCACTGCTTGGGGTCCCCGTAGCTGCGGGTGCGGGTGAAGGCGTCGGCTGGACCCGCCTCGCAGGGCTGTGCCCCAGCGTCCAGCCTCCCCACCCCAGACTCTTGGGTAGGGCACTTGACGGTGCTCGGCCTCGATTTGCTCATCTGTGAACTGGGGCTAAGAGTAGAATTCCCCCGGGCCTTGCGTCCCGTGGATGCGCACCCCGAACTGGGCGTCCCTCCTCCCCAGGCCCCTAGTCAGGCCCTCCCCACTGAGCGCCCTGCCATGAAGAGGCCCTGGGTGGGGGGCGGGGGTGATGACTCCCCACTGGGGGCATTTGGGTAGGGGCTAGAGCCAAGTCCAAGGGGGCAGGGGTGGGGAAGGACACCGCAGCTGGAGAGGCTGCGGCCCCGGGCTTAGTGGGGGTCATGGAGCTGGCCTTGGCCCCGCAGCCCAGTGTGGTCGGGAGGACTGCATGAAAGAGGGGGCCTGGGCAACGGGAGCTGGTGGCGGGGAGGGCGTTCCAAGCAGAGAGAGGAGCGGGGCGGGGAACTCACACGTCGAAGCAGTGCGCCGCTGACAGCAGCCACCTCTCGGCCACCAGCACAGCGCCGCAGCGGTGCTCCCGGCGCCGCAGCCACAGGCTCACCTGCCATGGCCACTCCCCGTGGCCCGCCGCGCTGCCGCCCACGATCCTGGTGAGCGCCGCCGCGGGCGCCAGGCCACAGTCTGCAGGCGGGAGCCGGGCGGTCGGCGGGCGCCTCCTCCGCAGAGCCCGCTGGGCGCACCCCTCCGCGTCGCCCTGACTAGGGGCACCGGCATGGGGCGGGGCACCCTTTCCAGGAAGCTCTGCCCGAAGGGAATTGGGCCTGGCGCTTGGTCCTGCAAATCAGCCTCTCTGGGCTTCTGTCCAACAACATTTGAAATGCATTGAATTTACCTTTGTTTCCTGTAACCTTGGCTTTGGGGCTGGGCCTCCTCCGGGTCCCAGACCTAGGCAGGGCCAGCATTCTCCCCCATGGCCGCCTCCTCCAGGCCTGCCTCAGTCCCCTTTCCTAGGTGCCCCTGCCTTCCTACCCCAAGGCCTTTGCACACACCCTGCCTCTGCCTGGGAGACCTCTGCCCAGCCCCACAGGCTCCTGCTCAGACCAGTCTCCGCTGCTGTCCTCCCTGGAGGCTTTTCAGGATGAAGTGTCCCACCTGTGTTACTTCCTCTAGGCTGTGACTACCCCAGCAGGTCCCTCCACCCCAAATGTGGTGCCAGACACAAGGTGTGCCCTCAGAGCACAGTTGTAGAAAGAACTAATGGGCGGTTTCAAAGGGTGCTTCAGAGACCACCGTTCCCACTCATTGGGGGCCCCCAGGTACCCATCAGATAATCCCCTCTGGAGGAAGCCCCCTTCCCCACCCTCTGTCCCACCCCCCAGCTGGCTCTCCCTGCCCTCCTGTCCCAGCATCAGCAAATACAAAGGTTGGCAGGTGTTATGGATTAAATTGTGTCCCCCCAAAATAATGTGTTGTAAATCCTAACTCCTATACTTGGGGAGGAGCCCTGGTGGGGCAGTGGTTAAGCGCCCAGCTGCTAACCCAGAGGTCTCTGCGGGAGAAAGATGTGGCAGTCTGCTCCCGTAAAGACTTCAGCTTTGGAAACTCTATGGGGCAGTTCTACTCTTACAGAGTCTTATAGGGTTGCTATGAGTCGAAAATGGACTCCACAGCACCCAGCAACAACATTCTTGTGGACGTAATCCCATCTGGGAATAGGGTTTTCTTTATTTAATGAGATCATATTAGTGTAGGGTGTGTTTTAAAGCAATCACTTTTGAGATATAAAAAGAGCTGATTAAGCACAGAACTGGGAAGCACCAATGGGGAGAGACTGATGTCATGTGAAGATCACCAAGGAATCGAGGCAGAGGAGCTGAAAGAGACAAGGATTTTCCCCCAGAGCCCACAGAGAGAGCCTTCCCCTAGAGCTGGCACCCTGAATCTGGACATCTCACCACCTGAACTGTGAGGGGATAAACCTGTTTGTTAAGGCCACCCACTCGTGGTGCTTCTGTTACAGCAGCAATGGGGGACAAGACAGCAGGGAAAAGGATCTCAGCATCCCGGCTCAGAAGGAGAGAAGGGGTGACTCCAGGTTCCCTCCCAGCCCTGGCACCCCGCCTTTCCCCCACGCCTGGCCCCTTGTATCCCTATGATGCAGACATGAGCCTCCTGACGCCATCTTGCCCTTGCCCAAGACCAGGTGGCCTTTGAGAACCCGTGAGAATCTGATGGAAGCTATAGCCCATCTCCCTGGAAAACTCCACCTGTGCCCCAGACGAACCCAGCCTCTCATTGCAGGGGTCTTTCTGCGCCTCTTTGGGACCCCACGTTAAAAACTCTATAAAGAATCCTGATCAAAAGAGGTAAAATGTGGAACAGAATTTCAAATTCTCACGGAATCCAGACTTTCTGGAGCCATGGAGGCTGGATGAACCCCTGAAAGTATTGCCATGAGATAAATTTTAAACTTTAAAGCAAATACAGCCCCTGAAGTCTTCTTTACACCAAAGAATAGTTTAGCTTGATTAGTAAAGAGTGTCTGCCTTGAGCATTGTGCTCTTTTAAGACCTATCTATATGGGATCAAATTGACAACAGCAACTCGAAATGTTAGATGGGAAACTTTGGGGGCCGGGAGGTTGTTAATGGAGGAGGAACAACTCGGAAGAGGAGGGTGAAAACAGTTGCACAATTTAAAGAATGTAATCGGTGTCACTGAATTGCATACGGAGAAACTGTTGAATTGGTGAATGTTTTGCTGTGTATACTCTCAACAACAACAACAAATAAAGTAAATTATTGAGAAAAAGAAAAAGAACTCCCAGGCTGTAGCTGTGGAGAAGGTAACAATCAGCCCAGAATGAGAAAGTAGAAATCCCCAGGGCAGGAAGACAGACCCAGATAATGCCAGCTGCAACTTTAGCAGGAAACAATATCCCTCCCACGGACACGCTGTAGCTGAAAAGTATTAAAACAACCCCCTTCTCTGGCGATCACTGCCCCTTCACCAGTATCAGAGACCGTCAGAAAGGTGGCTATCAGAAATCATATCAGTTTGAATTAACCTTTTTGGCCTGGGAAATCGTGGATGGTGCAAACAGTGAACACGCTTGCCTGCTAACTGAAAGGTTGGTGGTTCGAGTCCACCCAGAGGCACCTCAGAAGAAAGGCCTGGCCACCTGCTTCCGAAAGGTCACCGCCATGAAAACTCTATGGAGCACAGCTCTACTCTGACGCACAGGGAGTCTCCACGAGTCGGGGTGCACTTGAGGGCAATTGCTGTGGTTTGGTTTTCTTTTGCCTGGCAGAGTTGAGTCACAAAGAAGCCTCCTCCATATCTAACCCAAGTGCAGTCTCCAGATAAGGGGTTTGTGGGCCCCGCATTCTACGGCTATCTTCTCCCTGTGGTTGCCAAGGAAACGGCACTGGCTCCCCCGCCCAGACCAGATGGATGCTGACCCCGGTACACTTAGCTTGGCTTGGCTCTGAGGCAGCTGAAACCCTGCTTCATGTAAATTCCACCTCGTTACCGTTAGCTGCTTTCTAGTCAGCCCCCGACTCCTGGCGGCCCCGTCCTGTGTCATCCCCGTGATCGGTTATGGAACGGACCGTTGTGATCCACTGGGTGTTCATTAGCTGATTTTTGCAAGTCGGTCACCAGGCCTTTCTTCCTACTCCGTCTTAGTCCAGAAGCTCTGCTGAAACCTGTTCAGCATCACAGCAACACGCAAGCCTCCACTGACAGATAGGTGGTGGCTGAGCATGAGGAGCACTGGCCGGGACTCGAACCCAGGTCTCCCATATGGAAGGCGAAGATTCTATCAACATTTTAGACGGGGATGGGGATGATCTTGAGAGCACCTTCTCTTGATCCCCAACTACCACCAAGCTAACTGAACTCAGCCAGCTGCCTGCATTTAGCCACACAGGTGTCCTGTTCCATAGCCCTAACGGAAGCCTGCTGACCGACCCCCACTCCCCAGCTCCTCCTCCTTCTTTCACCCCTAACTACAAAAAACCCAGCTGTCATTGTCACTGAGTCCATTCAGACTCCTGGTGACCCCGTGTGTCTCAGTGTAGAACCGTGCTCCATAGGGTTTTCAGTGGCTGATTTTTCAGAAGTAGATCGCCAGGACTTTCTTCCAAGGCACCCCTGAGTGGACTCGAAAGGCCAGCCTTTTGGTTAGCAGCAAAGCACGTTACTCTATAGGACAAAGTAGAACTGCCCCATAAGGTTTCCGAGGAGCGGCTGGTGGATTCGAACCGCTGACCTTTTGGCTTGCAGCTGTAGCTCTTAACCACTGCGCCACCAAGGCTCTGCCTGACACATAGCAGGACTCTATAAGCATTGGTTGGCTGTCTGGAATCATTCCATAACGGAGACCCGCCCGCTTCCCACGGGCTTCCCCCCACGCCTGTCAAGTTGCCTTTTTAGACGGGAGAAGACAAGGTTGCGGGATAAGGCATTTCCCGCCTGCCCCATCAGAGCCGTCTGTCTCCGTAGCTGTCAGGACCCCACACCCCCAGGCGTCACCCCATCTCACGGTACCTGAGAGCTGGGAGTGTGTGCTGGGCTCTGGGGTGTTTGGAAGTGGCGTCTGCCTCCTGGTGGTGGTGCTCGTGACGGTGACGGTGGTGCTGGCAGGCTGGCTGGTGGCCCTGCTGGTGGGCTGGGGCGTGGTGTTGCTGGTCGTGGCTCCCGGGACTGTGAGGCCAGCAGTTGACCTCAGGGCGTGGATTGGGGTGGTGGGTGTCCTTGCGGTCGAGGGGGGAGCTGTGGGGAGGGGGTCGGAGGACATGGTCTCCAGGATCCAGCCCTTCAGCCTGGTGATTCGCGCATACACACCCGGCTTCTTGACCTGGGCACAGCCAAGTCCCCAGCTCACAATCCCTGCCAGGTAGAACACGCCGGGGGTCTCCTCACAGGCCAGGGGGCCCCCGGAGTCGCCCTGAAAGAGAAGCAAAGAGGGTCAGCTGGCCACCCCTGGGCCTCCATTGTTATTGCTTTTGAGATGAAAAAAAATGTAAAAACTCTTAAGAAAAAAATAACCAGCGTTAATATTTCCACCACCTAGACTTAACCGCCGCGCGTGGCCACCAGGGGGCGGTGGTGGCTCAGTGGTGGGACTCGGGCCTTCCATCCCGGCCAATGCGCCTCGTGCGCAGCCACCACCGTCTGTCAGGGGAGGCTTGCGTGTTGCTAGGATGCTGAACAGGTTTCAGCGGAGCTTCCAGAGTAAGATGGACTAGGAAGAAAGGCCTGGCGATCAACTTCAGAAAATCAGCCAATGAAAACTCTATGGATCCCAAAGGTGCCATCCGAAACCAATCTTGGGGATGGTGCAGGACCTGGCAGTATTTTGTTCTTTTATGCACGGGGGTCGTCACGAGTAGCAGAAGACTTGACACCAGGCCAGACAACCACCACAAACTACAGCCGACTGCCCCCCGTGAAGCACACCTGGCAGGAATCGACTCTGCCTTCCAGAAAGCCGGCACAGATCATCCGGTCGGTGAGGGAGAAGTTGTAGAGAATGCTGCAGGTCTTCTGGTCTATGATCCCCACCGAGGCTTTCTGGAGAATGTCAGGCTTGGTCACTACAAGGGAAAGGAGACCCCAACACGCCACTTACAGAGGGACCCCGCGACCAGATCCAGCTTAACTCTGGTGATGACCCCAGGTGGCACAGTGGTTAACAGCTTGGCTGCTAACCAAAAGGTTGGTGGTTTGAAACCATCAGCGACTTCGCGGGAGAAAGACGTGGCAGTCTGCTTCCATAGAGGTTCACAGCCTTGGAAACCCTATAGGGTCACTATGAGTCGGAATCGACTTGACGGCTAGAGTTTGTTTTTTTTAAAGGACACTGGGAGTGAGGTACGATGCCTGTCCTCCAGACGGAGAAACGGGGGCTCGCGGAGTTGCAGGAATTGGTGTGAGGTCACGTGGCAAGAAGGAGGCAGACCCTCGATTCGCAATTCGGAGCCCTGGAGTCTTGCCGCTGTCCCCACTTAGGGTAAGCGGTAGGCAGGCCATTCTGAGGTTTGCCATACCAGTTGCTGTCACATCAATCCTGACTCCTGGCGACCCCATGTGTGTCAGAGTAGAACTGAGCTCCACAGGGTTTTCAATGGCTGATTTTTCAGAAACATCTCCAGGCCTTTCTTCTGAGGCACCTGTGGGTGGACTCGAACCTCCAACCTTTTGATCAGCAGCCGAGCCTGTTCACCATTTGCACTGCCCAGGGCCTCCATTCTGAGGTTAGAAGGGAGCATTAACTCTTGGGAGTTTCTGAGTGGCATAGGGCCAGAAGGATCATCAAACTTTTTCATAAGAGGGACAGAGAATAAATAGTTTTGCCTTGGCGGGCCAGACAGCCTCTGTCACAACTACTCAGCTCTGCTGTCATAAAGCAGAAGCAGCTGTTACATAACTGAGTCAAAAGCGGTCTCCGTGCACTGGCCCAGGTTGTTTACTTCTTCACGGCAAGCTGAGGTCCCTCCGTTGGCACCAAACCCAAATGTGTACGTGTCCAACTGTACACAGAATTGGCCCAAAGAAGCAACGTTTCAGTCCCTTAGAGCTGCCTGCTTTACATACCCTGCCAAACTGCACCTGCTGTCTGCTCGCCCTCCGGAAGGTCAGACCCTGTAGTTATATAGGCCCTAAGGTGCTGCTGGGGCCCTAGTGTGCAGTGGTTAAAGAGCTCAGCTGCTAACCAAAAGGTGGGCAGTTCAAATCCACCAGCCAGTCCTTGGAAACCCTATGGGGCAGTTCTACTCTGTCCTATAGGATCGCTATGAATTGGAATCGACTTGACAGCAATGTGTTTTTTTTTAAGGTGCTGCTGGGAGCCCGGGTGGTGCAACAGTTAAGCTCTCAGTTGCTAACTGAAAGGTTCGTGGTTTTAGCCCACCCGTGACTCCGTGGGAGAAAGAACTGGCGATCTGCTCCCGTAAGGATTCCAGCCGAGGAAACCCTCTGGGGCAGCTCCGCTCTGTCACATGGCTGACAGAAGCCCCGCCCCCTCGCTCTTCCCCGGGGTTTCCTGGCCCTCCTCCCCTTGCCTCTGGCAGCCGTCCTGCTGCGGGAGACCTCCCTGCACGTAGCTGTCACTGCGGCTGCCCCAGAAGATAGCTGGTGCGACACTGCCATCTGGTGGTCGTATCTTTGTCTTCAGTTAGCCCTGAATTTCCCCACCTCACCACAGCAGCCGTAGACAATAGAAACATGAATGCGTGTGGCTGCATTCCAATAAAACTTTATTTATAAAAACAAGCTAAGGGCCGGATTTGGCCCGAAGGCTGTAGCTTGCAACCCCTGGTGTAGGGGGTGGGGAGTTGGGTGCAGGGTGGGGAATGGTGCAGTTGTGTTGGTTTCGGGCCCACCTAAGACACGCCGATCCTCACCGTCTGGATATAGGACCAGCAAGCCCAGGAGATCCCGGGAATCCAACCATCGCTGCCCGTGAGTGGGGCTCACCGTTTCCTTCCCGGGTGTTGCCCCATCCGGAGATCATGCACTTGCGACCCACGGGGAACTTCTGGATGGCCAGGGGCAGGCAGACGGGCTGGACGTACTTGTTGAAGAGGAGGGGGCTGGCCAGCTCCAGCACGGCCACGTCAAAGTCCAGGGTGCCGGCGTGGTACAGGGGGTGCAGCACCACCCGCTTGAGGCCCACCTTGACCGGGCTCCCGCCCACGCCCATGAGGGACGCCGTGCCCAGGTGGGCCCGCACCTGCTCCACCTTCGTGCTGCAGAGACAGGGGCCCTCAGACACCCCCACTCCTACCCTAGTCCCGACCCCAGGGAGGGCCCAGGTTGCGGCCTCGAGGGGGTGAGGCAGAGTTCTGGGGCTCGACCGTCGCTCAGACCCTCGGCTCTGGGGAGGGGTAACAGGAGGGGAAGGGCCTCAGGGACCTCATGAGAAATGGTCCCAAGCTCAGTGATCTTGGGCAGGCCGGGGGAACCCCTTTGGGCCCCACTTTCTTCATAACAAGAGGGAGTTGGTCCCACAGCACCTAAGACCCTGCAGCTCTATAGAGAGCAAAGGTGAAGGCCTCCTGGTTATCAAGTTTGTTCCCAGCTGGTGCAAACGGTTAACGTGCTTCGCTGCTAACTGAAAGGTTAGAGGTTCGAGTGCACCCAGAGGTGCCTCGGAAGAAAGGCCTGGTGATCTACTTCTGAAAACTCCGCCATTGAAAACTCTAAAGAGCACGGCTCTACTCGGACACACGGGGTCGCCGTGAGTCAGCGGTGACCGCGTGGCCACTGGGTGTCTAGGGGTGGTTAGAAAGCAAAGGGGATGGGAGCTCTTCTCCTTCCTCCTGGTTGTCGTTCATCGCCATGGAGTCGGGCCCTGACTCAGGGTGACCCCTGCACAACAGGACAAAGCACTGCCCAGTCCTGCACAGCCTCATGACTGGGTGCAGATAGGGCTGCTGGGATCCACACAGGGTTCTCCCTGGCTGATTTTCGGAAGTTGATCACCAAGCCTTTCTTCCTAGTCTGTCTTAGTCCGGAGGCGCCCCTGAAACCTGTTCAGCGTCACAGCGCCACGCAAGCCTTCACTGACAGATGGGTGGTGGCTGCACGTGAGGTGCATTGGCCGGGAATCAAACCCGGGTCTCCCGCCTGGAGGGCGAGAATGCTACCCCTGAACCACCACTGCCTCCTGGCTACTTCTCTTCAGTGGCCCCAGTCTCGTTTTGCAGTGAACCCTTTGCCATTGAGTCGATTCTGACTCATAGCGACCCTATAGGGCAGAGTAGAAGTGCCCCACAGGGTTTCCAAGAAGCGGCTGGTGGAATCGAACTGCCAACCTTTTGGTTAGCAGCTGAGCCCGTCACCATTGCACCACCAGGGCTCCTGTTTTACAACTGGGCACTCAGAAACCTGGATCATGAGCCCAGAAGGGAAAGGAAAGGTGGGGTCTGCTGGTCCCCGCATCCACACGGCAAGCGCAGTAAGAAATGGTTTTGGGGGCATGCAGGTTTGGCGGGGTCCTGGCGACAGCGTGGGGAGGCCGGGTGGCCCCTCGCAGGGCGGGATCTTACTGGTTGAAGCAGTGGGCCGCGGACAGCAGCCAACGGTCGCCCACCACGGTGGCTCCGCAGAAGTGCCGGGAACCTTCCTTCAGGCTGACCTGCCAAGGCACCTCCCCGGAGGCGGCTCCGAATCCGCCCACGATCCGGATCGGCTTCTCCAGCGCGGGCCTGGTCCCGCATTCTGCAAGGTGACAGGACAGAAGGGCCGCGAGCTTAGGTGCTTAGGACGTGGAGGCTATGGAGCCCATCAGCCCCATTTTACAGGTGAAGAAACCGTGGCTTAGCAGCGGCAGTGGCTGGCCTGGCGTCTCCCAGCAAGTCAGCAGCACGGCTGGGGGATACAAGTTAAAAAGGAGGACACAGCATTGTAAGGTGTCCTGGTGGTGCGCAGGTAAGTGCTGGGCTGCTAACTGAAAGCTAGCCAACCTGCACAGCGGCTCTGCGAGAGAAAGACCTGGCGATCTGCTCCTGTAAAGATTCAGTCAGTCAGTTAGCTGCCGTCGAGTCAATTTTGACTCATGGCGACCCCATGTGACAGAGTAGAATTGCTCCATAGGGTTTCCTAGGCTGTAATCTTTACAGGAGCAGATCGCCAGGTCTCTCTCCAGCGGAGCCGCTGGTGGGTTCAAACCGCCAACCTTCCGGTTAGCAGCTGAGTGCTTAACCATTTGCGCCACCAGGGCTCCTTCTGTAAAGATTATAGCCAAGAAAATCATACAGGGCAGTTCTGCTCTGTCATATGGGGTCTCTATGAGTCGGAATCGATTTGATGGCCCCTGTCTTAGTCATCTAGGGCTGCTGTAACAGAGATACCACAAACAGATGGCTTTAACAAAGACAGATTTATTCTCTCACAGTCTCGGAGGCTAGAAGTCTGAGTTCAGGGCGCCAGCTCCAGGGGAAGGTCCTTATCATCAATCTTCCCCTGGACTAGGAGCTTCTCAGAGTAGGGACCTTGGGCTCATAGGACTCGCTATTCTCCTGGCTCTTGTTTCTTGGTGGTATGAGGTCCCCATGTCTGTCTGCTCGCTTCTCTCTTTTTATATCTCAAAAGAGATCAACTTAAGACACAACCTAATCCTGTACATTGAGGCCTGCCTCGTTAACATACCTGCCTCTAATCCCTCCTCATTAACATCATAGAGGTAGGATTTATAACACCTAGGAAAATTACATCAGGTGACAAAATGCTGGACAGTCACACGATACTGGGGGAAACAATTCAATCCTTGACAGCACCCAACGACAACAAGTGTCCCATTGGCCTAAGGCTGCCGGGGGCCGACCTTCAGCCAATAAAGTAAGGTTTATGGGCTCATTGCAATAAAGAGACTCGTGGGATGGTTCACCAAACAGGAAGAGTCGGGGCTATTGGGGGATTTAGGAGCCCTGGTGGCGCAGTGGTTAAGAGCTCAGGCTCCTCAACAAAAGGTTGGCAGTTTGAATCCAGCAGCTCCTTGGAAACCCTATGGGGCAGCTCTACTCTGTCCTATAGGGTCGCTGTGAGTGGGAATCGACTCCATGGCAATGGGTTTGGTTTTTTTGGGAGAAGGGTGGCGTTCAGGTGACGTTTAAGTGAAGCATTGATTGTGTTAGCCCAAAGGCACGCCAAGCTAAGTGTAAAGGGGTCAGCTTTGGGTCTGGACTGAGAAGTGGACCTGGGTCCGTTTCCTTGACAACCACAGACATGACAGCTGTGGAGTGCGGTGTCCACAAACCCCTTATCTGCCCCTGGGCTGGCCATCAGGTGGCTTCCCTGTGACTTCAGAGTGACTTGGATCCTTTAGGCGAAAGCAGGCACCTCCTACTGACTTGATTTCTAGCGGCCAGGTTTCCGCCGGGTTTTAGAGAACAAGGTTTTTCAGAGAGGAAGAGGGCAGGAGCGGCTCCGACCAGGGGTCGGCATCGCCTTTGTGACAGCGTGCCGTGGTTAACGAGAAACGGGATGACCCACGTGACAGAGATATAATGGCAGAGGGCTCACAGCGTAAGATGGGGCCAACAGGAGGGCCTACCTCGTCCTAGAACAGGAAGACTCAACAGTATACAAATACCCGCTCTCCCCGGGTGGTGTACACAGCTGAGCGCTCGCTACTAGCCGTAAGGTTGGCAGTTCGAACCCACTCTGAGGCACATCAGAAGAAAGGCCTGGTGATCTGTGGGGACCGTGGTCTCAGGGAACATCTAGCTCAATTGGCATAACATAGCTTATAAAGAAAATGTTCTACATTCCACTTTGGTGAGTAGCTTCTGGGGTCTTAAAAGCCTGTGAGCAGCCATCTAAGATACTCCACGGGTCTCACCCCTTTTGGAGCAAGGGAGAATGAAGAGAACAGGATACAAGGAAAAGATTAGTGCAAAGGACTAATGGACCACAACTGCCACTGCCTCCACCAGACTGAGTCCAGTACAACTAGACGGTGCCCTGCTACCACCACCGACTGCTCTAACAGGGATCACAATAGAGGGTCCTGGACAGAGCTGGAGAAAAATGTAGAACAAAATTCTAACTCACAAAAAAAAGACCAGACTTACTGTCCTGACAGAGACTGGAGAAACCCCGAGAGTATGGCCCCCGGACACCCTTTTATCTCAGTAATGAAGTCACTCCCGAGGTTCACCCTTCAGCCAAAGATTAGACAGGCCCATAAAACAAAACGAGACTAAAGGGGCACACCAGCTTAGGGGCAAGGACGAGAAGGCAGGAGGGGACAGGAAAGCTGGTAACGGGGACCCCAAGGTCGAGAAGGGACAGTGTTGACATGTCATGGGGTTGGCAACCAGTGTCACAAAACAACATGTGTATTAATGGTTTAATGAGAAGCTAGTTTTGTTCTGTAAACCTTCATCTAAAGTACAATAAAAAAACTAAAAGAAGAAGAAGAAAGGCTTGGTGATCTACTTCCAAAAAAACCAGCCACTGAAAACCCTATGGAGCACAGTTCTTTTATTTTTATTTTTTATTGCTGTGCTTCAAGTTAGTCTCTCATACAAAAATGGATACGTACATTGTTATGTGACCCTAGTTGCTCTCCCTATACTGTGACAGCACACTCCTCCTTTCCACCTTGGATTTCCCGTGTCCATTCATCCAGCTCCTGACCCTCTCTGCCTTCTCATCTCGCCTCTGGACAGGAGCTGCCCGTTTAGTCTCATGTATCTACTTGAGCTAAGAAGCACTGTCTTCCCAAGTATCATTTTATGTCCTATAGTCCAGTCTAATCTTTGTCTGAAGAGTTGGCTTCGGGAATGGTTTTAGTTTTGGGCTAACAGATAGTCCGGGGGCCATGTCTTCTGGGATCCCTCCCGTCTCAATCACACCATTAAGTCTGGTCTTTTTACTAGAATTTGAGTATTGCACCCCACTTTTCTCCTGCTCCGTCAGGGACTCTCTGTTGTGTTCCCTGTCAGGGCGGTCTTTGGTGGTAGCTGGGCACCATCTAGTTCTTCTGGTCTAAGGCTGATGGAGTCTCTGGTTTACGTGGCCCTTTCTGTCTCTTGGCTAATACTTTCCTTGTGTCTTCGGTGCTCTTCATTCTCCTTTGGAGCACACATGGGGTCACCAGGAGTTGGAGTCAACGTGACAGCAACTAACAAGAAAGACAATCCGTTCTCCCTCAGTCAAGCTGTAACTTAAACATCTTCTAAAATTAGAGAAGTTTACTCTTCACACGGAAAGATAAACAGGCGAGAAATGTCTGGGAACATTCTGGAAAAGAAGAAGTGAGCACTCAAATAGTAAAACATGGGCACAAGTGCTGTCTATGGGTAGTGTTTCTGGAAGGATACTCAAGAAACGGATCGCACTGGTTACTCCCAGAAAGGGCGTCTAGGGGGCTGGGGTGGGGGGACTAAAAGTTAGTGTCTCTCCCACTACAATCCTGACCCTACAATCACTGTTAGTAGCTTCTTGTGGAACTTCATAGATATTCTATGCCTATCCTCTTGTACTGCATGAATTTACCAGGCACATATATTATAAAGTATACTCTACTTAATAGATTATAAAATATGAAGTATAGTGTACTTATTGATTATCAGATACGAAGTATATTATGTTGTTGTGTGCTGTCGAGTCAGTTCCAACTCATAGCGACCCCATGTGACAGAGGAGAACTGCCCCAGAGTGTTTCCTAGGCTGTGATCTTTACGGGAGCAGATCACCAGGTCTTTTCTTGGTCAGAGCCACTGAGAGGTGCAAACGGCCAACCTTTTACTTACCAGCCGAGTGCTTAATCATTGCACCAATATGGCTCCCAAAGTGTATTATACTTAAAAAAAAAAAAAATGACTGGATGGCCAGCCTGTACCATTGGTCCATGCCTGTGTTCATGACAGACATCACTAATCACCAGTCTTTCCACAGAGTGCTTCGGAAAGCCAGTACCAGTCGATCTCACCTGGAACAGGTGATGACACCTACTTCTTCCTGTCTCCTGGAAAATACCTTGTGGCTTGGAGGCGGTGGCTGAGTCCAGGCGCACCGTGCTGGGGGTCAGCGTGGGTCTGGTGGGGGTGTTGACCACGGGGCTCTTAGGGCTGGTGGGCCAAACACTGCTGGGGGTGGCAGGGGCAGGTGCCACGGTGGGGGCCAGGGGCATGCTGGCCATGGCGATCACCTCCAGGATCCAGTCACGAAGCCTAGTCACGCGGGCGTAGACACCCGGCCGCCGGGCTTCCGCACAACCGATTCCCCAGCTCACGATGCCCGCCAGGAAGAACCTTCCGGAAGGCTCTTCGCAGACCAGGGGCCCCCCCGAGTCGCCCTAGGAGACAAAGGCACAGGTTGACGACAGGCTGGGACTCTCCCAGCAGCAGCCAGTTCAAACCCCAGAGCTGCAGGGCCAGCGCAGGAGCAGTGGACTGGGACTCCGGAGACCGCTCTCCAGACAAGCTCACGGAGCAACTTAGGCAGAGAATTCCCATCTCAGAACCTCGGTCTCCAGAAGAACTAGATGGTGCCCGGCTACCACCAGTGACCATCCTGACAGGGAACACAACAGAATCCCTGACGGAGCAGGAGAAAAGTGGGGTGCAGAACTCAAGTTCTAGTAAAAAGACAAGACTTAATGGTCTGACTGAGATTGGAGGAACCCCAGAAGACATGGCCCCTGGACTCTCTGTTAGCTCAAAACTACCATTCCCGAGGCCAACTCTTCAGACAAAGGTAAGACTGGACTATGGGACATACAAGGATACTCATGAGGAGTGTGCCTCTTAGCTCAAGTAGATACATGAGACCAAACGGGCAGCTCCCGTCCGGAGGTGAGATGGGAAGGCAGAGAGGGTCAGGAGCTGGCTGAATGGACACGGGAGATCTGGGGTGGAAAGGAGGAGTGTGCTGTCACAGTATAGGGAGAGCAAGTAGGGTCACAAAACAATGTGTGTATAAATTTTTGTATGAGAGACTGACTTGAGCTGTAAACTTTCACCTAAAGCTCAATAGAAAGAAATCTTGGTCTCCTTTCCTGTAAAACAAGATTTTTGGACTTTATTAAGGCTGGAGGAGTCTCCGAGATCATGGCCCCCAGTCACTCTTCAAAACTTGAATTGAAACTATCCCTCGAAGTCCTCTTTAAAACTAAGTAACGGTTTAGCTGAAACAGTAAAGATTGTCACCCTTGAGTACTGCTGCTCTTTTCAAAGAATCATCTGTTTAAAACCAAACGAGTAACAGCTGTTCTAAAGCGCAGACCAGAGTGTTGGCGGCAGGGAGTTTAAGTCAATGGAAGTGAAACAACCAGAACAGAAGTAGCAATAATATTGACACAGATGTGAGGAACATAACCAATGTCACTGATCAACTATGTTCAGGAACGGTGGAATGGGTGCGGGTTTTGCTGCCTATATTTTTACCAAGATCATTAATTACAAAAATAATAAACAAGACAGTTGGACTACGCGATCTTTTTTTTCGTCCTTTAGATGAAGGTTTACAGAATAAACTAGTTTCTCATTCAAGAGTTAGTACACATACTGTTTTGTGACATTGATTACCAACCCCATGACATGTCAACACTTTCCCTTCTTGACCTTGGGTTCCCTATTACCAGCTTTCCTGTCTCCTCCTGCCTTCTCGTCCTTGCCCCTGGACTGGTGTGCCCCGTTAGCCTCGTCTTGTTCTATGGGGCTGTCGAATCTTTGGCTGAAGGGTGAACCTCAGGAGTGACTTCAATACTGAGCTAAAAGGGTGTCCGGGGGCCATACTCTCGGGGTTTCTCCAGTCTCTGTAGGCCAGTAAGTCTGGTCTTTTTTTGTGAGTTAGAATTTTGTTCTACATTTTTCTCCAGCTCTTTCTGGGACCCTCTGTTGTGATCTCTATCAGAGCAGTCAGTGGTGGTAGCCGGGCACCGTCTAGTTGTACTGGACTCAGGCTGGTGGAGGCTGTGGTAGTTGTGGTCCATGAGTCCTTTGGACTAATCTTTCCCTTGTGTCTTTGGTTTTCTTCATTCTCCCCTGCTCCCGAGGGGAAGAGACCAGTGGAGTATCTTAGATGGCCGCTAACAAGCTTTTAAGACCCTAGACGCTACTCACCAAAGTAGAATGTAGAACATTTTCTTTATAATCTATGTTATGCCGGTTGAGCTAGATGTTCCCACCAAGACCATGATCCCCACAGTCCTCCGCCCAGTAATTTGGTCCCGAAGGGAGTTTGGATGTGTCTATGAAGCTTCCATGACCTTGCCTTGTACAAACTGTGCTGGCTTCTGTGGGATCTTTAAGATATCTTTTAGTCAGTCTAAAGCCTGCCCCACGTTCTACCAGACGAGGTGATGGGGACAGTCCCCGCCTTCCCGTAGTTGCTGTCAAGTCGATTCCGACTCCTGGCACCCTGTATGTGTGCAGAGTACCACTGCTCCATAGGGTTTTCAAGGCTGTGATCTTTCAGAAGCAGATTGCCAGGCCTTTCTTCCGAGATGCCTCTGGGTGGGTTGGAACTGCTAACCTTCCATTTAGTAGCTGAGTGGTTAACCTTTTGCGCCACCCAGGGACTCCCCTGCCCTCATGGAAATCCCCTTTCAGAGGGGGAGGAGGGTAGCCAGCTGGATTTACACATGCTAAGCTGGGCCCCCATGGAAGCAGCAGTCAAGAAATCAAAAGACGCATTGCACTGGGCAAATCTGCGCAAAAGACCTCTTTAAAGTGTTGAAAAGCAAAGATGTCACCTTGAAGACTTGGGTGCGCCTGACCGAAGCCATGGGGTTTTCAATCACCTCATATGCATGTAAAAGCTGGACCATGAATGAGGAAGACCGAAGAAGAATTGACGCCTTTGAATTGTGGTGTTTGTGAAGGATATTGAATACACCGTGGACTGCCGAAAGAATGAACAAGTCTGTACTGGAAGAAGTACAGCCAGAGTGCTCCTTAGAAGCAAGGATGGCGAGACTTCATCTCACATACTTTGGAGATGTTATCAGGAGGGATCAGTCCCTGGAGAAGGACGTCATACTTGGTAAAGTGGAGGGTCAGCGAAAAAGAGGAAGACCCTCCACGAGATGGATTGACGCAGTGGCTGCAACAATGGGCTCAAGCATAACAAGGATTGTGAGGATGGCGCAGGACCGGGCGGTGTTCCGTTCTGTTGTACACGGGGTCGCTATGAGTTGGAAATGACTCGATGGCACCTCACAACAACAATACTATATTTGAAAAAATCAAAACAAATGCAAAAAAAAAATCCAGGTCAGGCCCTGGATGCAAGGCAAAACGCCACCTGAACTTGGGGGCCCTTGGGCTCCTCCAGAGCCCCCGCCCTGGACATGAGAGTCATCGACAGGCTCAGGGACCCCATCATAGGCTGCCTTCCAGGCCCCCTGGGGCCACCAAGGGCAAAGGAAAAGCACAGCGAGGGATGAGTTTTGTAAAATCATCACCCACCCCCCCGTCTGTCCGTGTGCCATGCTGTGGGGCTTGGGTGAAGCTATATCACTGGTATTTCAAATACCAGCAGGGTCACCCATGGTGGAAAAGTTTCAGCAGAGCTTCCAGACTAAGACAGACTACGAAGAAAGACCTGGCGATCGACTTCTGAAAATCAGCCAGTGAAAACCCTATGGATCACAACAGAACATTGTCTGATATAGTGCTGGAAGATGAGCCCCCGAGGTTGGAAGGCACTCAGAATACACAGTGGCCAAAACCATGGACTCAAGCAGACTAACAATTGTGAAGATGGCGCAGGACTGGGCAGTGTTTCACTCTGTTGTACATCAGGTCACCAGGAGTCAGATCTGGCTCGATGGCATCCACAACTACAACCAGATCATCACGGTTCTGTTACAAGAACAGAGCAAAGCTCATCCCGGTGCTCAGGTTGGCACTACCCCCACTATCCAGTCCCTTTAGAATTCCTCCAGAACAGGTGTCCATAGGCCCATTTGTGCATTTTTCTAGGGGGAAGGGACTGAACTACCTTTTGAGGGGAGAAACGAAGCAGAAGCTTGGGGGCCATTCCCAGCCGCCTTTCCAATCTAGAACATTGTAGAACATTCTTTGCCCCCCCCCCAGAACTTCCTAGACTATTCCTGGTTTTGTTTTCTTTCTCCTGTTTTAGAACATTCTGAAGCTAAATGGTAGATGCTAGCCACAGATGAGTTCCACGGGTTCCCAGAACTCCAGGCGGCACGGCTTACCTGGCAGGAATCCACTTTGCCGTCCAGGTAGCCGGCGCACAGCATCCTGTCCGTGAGCGAGTGGCCGTAGAGACTGGTGCACAGGCCTTGGTCCAGCAATTCCACGCTGGCTTTCTGCAGCACCTCCGGCTTGACCACTGCCCAGGGCGGGAGAGACAAGGCGCTGAGGCTCTGGGGTCCCAGAGAACCACCCCAAGCTGGGGGGCTGAAACATGTCACCCGCTGAACCTCAGTTTCCCGGGCTGCAAACAGGATTGCTAGCAGCACCCGGCTCAGAGACTAGCAAAGGGCAAAACAAACAAAGTAGGTGCATCAAATCAGCTCTGACTTGTGGCGACCTCGTGTGTCAGAGGAGAACTGTGCTCCATAGGGTTTTCAGTGGCTGATTTTTCAAAAGCAGATCACCAGGCCTTTCTTCTGAGGCACCTCTGGGTGGACTCGAACCACCAACCTTTTGGTCGGCAGCCGAGGGCATTCACCGTTTGCACCACCTAGAGATTGCCCGAATGCCCACGGCTAACATGGAGCAATTGAAGGTTTCTACCAGCTTCTGCAGTCTGAAATAGATCAAACATACAATCAGGATGCATTGATAACTACTGGTGATTGGAATGTGAAAGTTGGAAACAAAGAAGAAGGATCAGTAGTTGGAAAATATGGCCTTGGTGATAGAAATGATTCCCAAGATCGCATGATAGAATTTTGCAAGACCAACAACTTCTTCATTGCAAATACATTTTTTCGCCAACATAGACAGTGACTATACACGTGGACCTGGCCAGATGGAATACACAGGCATCAAATCGACTACATCTGTGGGAAGAGATGATGAAAAAACTCAATATTATCAGTCAGAACAAGGCCAGGGGCCGACTGCGGAACAGACCATCAATTGCTCGTATGCAAGTTCAAGCTGAAGCTGAAGAAAATTAGAACAAGCCCACAAGAGCCAAAGTACGACCTTGAGTATATCCCACCTGAATTTAGAGACCATCTCAAGAATAGATTTGATGGATTGAACGCTAATGACCGAAGACCAGACGAGTTGTGGAATGACATCAAGGACATCATACATGAAGAAAGAAAAAGGTTATTAAAAAGACAGGAAAGAAAGAAAAGACCAAAATGGATGTCAGAAGAGACTCTGAAATTTGCTCTCGAACATCGAGTAGCTAAAACAAAAGGAAGAAATGATGATGTAAAAGAGCTGAACAGAAGATTTCAAAGGGCGGCTTGAGAAGACAAAGTAAAATAACGACGTGTGCAAAGAGCTGGAGATGGAAAACCGAAAGGGAAGAACACGCTTAGCATTTCTCAAGCTGAAAGAACTGAAGAAAAAATTCAAGCCTTGAGTTGTAACAGTGAAGGATTCTACGGGGGGAAGATATTAACCGACGCAGGAAGCATCAAAAAAAGATGGAAGGACTACACAGAGTCACTATACCAAAAAGAACTGGTCAACATTCACCCATTTCAGGAGGCAGCAGATGACCAGGAACTGACAGTACTGAAGGAAGAGGTCCAAGCTGCACTGAAGGCATTGGCGAAAAACAAGGCTCCAGGAATTGATGGAATATCAACTGAGATGTTTCAACAAATGGATGCAGCGCTGGAAGTGCTCACTCGTCTATGCCAAGAAATTTGGAAGACAGCTACCTGGCCAACCGACTGGAAGAGATCTATATTTATGCCTATTCCCAAGAAAGGTGATCCAACCAAATGCGGAAGATTATCGAACAATATCATTAGTATTACACGCAAGTAAAATTTTGCTGAAGATCATTCAAAAGCGGCTGCAGCAGTATATCAACAGGAAACTGCCAGAAATTCAGGCCGGATTCAGAAGAGGACGTGGAACCAGGGATATCATTGCTGATGTCAGATGTATCTTAGCTGAAAGCAGAGAATACCAGAAAGATGTTTACCTGTGTTTTATTGACTACGCAAAGGCATTCGACTCTGTGGATCATAACAAATTATAGATAACATTGTGAAGAATGGGAATTCCAGAACAGTTAATTGTGCCCATGAGGAACCTGTACACAGATCAAGAGGTAGTTGTTCAGACAGAACAAGGGGATACTGTGTGGTTTAAAGTCAGGAAAGGTGTGTGTCAGGGTAGTATCTTTTCACCATACCTATTCAATCTGTATGCTGAGCAAATAATCTGAGAAGCTGGACTATATGAAGAAGAATGTGGCATCAGGATTGGAGGAAGACTCATTAACAACCTGCGATATGCAGATGACACAGCCTTGCTTGCTGAAAGTGAAGAGGACTTGAAGCACTTACTGATGAAGATCAAAGACCACAATCTTCAGTATGGATTACACCTCAACGTAAAGAAAACAAAAATTCTCACAGCTGGACCAATAAGCAACATCATGATAAATGAGAAAAGATTGAAGTTGTCAAGGATTTCATTTTACTTGGACCCACAATCAACATCCATAGAAGCAGCAGTCAAGCAATAAGAAGACACATTGCCTTGGGCAAATCTTCCTCGAAAGACCTCTTTAAAGTGTTGAAAAGCAAAGATGTCACCTTGAAGACTAAGGTGCGCCTGACCCAAGCCATAGTGTTTTTAATTGCCTCATATGCATGCAAAGGCTGGACAATGAATAAGGAAGCCCGAAGAAGAATTGATGCCTTTGAACTGTGGTGTTGGTGAAGAATATTGAATATACCATGGACTGCCAGAAGAACGAACAAATCTGTCGTGGAGGAAGTACAACAAAAATGCTCCTTAGAAGCAAGGATGGTGAGACTTTGTCTCACATACTTTGGACATGTTATCAGGAGGGATAAGTCCCTGGAGAAGGACGTCATGCTTGGTAAAGTAGAGGGTCAGCGAAAAAGAGGAAGACGCTCAACGAGATGGACTGACACAGTGGCTGCAACAATGGGCTCAAGCATAACAAGGATTGTGAGGATGGCGCAGGACCGGGCAGTGTTTTGTTCTGTGGTACACGGGGTCACTGTGAGTCGGGACTGACTCGACGGCACCTCACAACAACAACACCACTCTGTCCCCAGACAGCCAAGAGGTATCAAACTTAGCACACCAACCCTGGGCTCCTAGGTCCCCTTCCAAACCCTCTCCACGTCAGCCTCCCTCAGCTCAGGGGACGCCAGCCCCATGCTTGCGGGTGCTCCGGTTCCAAACCTCAGAGCCAGCCTTGAGTCCACCCTCTCTTGCTGCACATCAACGCGACCCCCAGAATATATCCAGAATCTGCCCACGCCTCGCTCCGAGCCAGGCAACCATCATTCTTGGCCTGCGCCATCCCGATTGTCTCTTAGCTGGTCTCCCTGCTTCTGCTGTTACTCCATAACTTCTCTGCTGAAATCTAGTCTTAACCCAGCAGCCAGCACGGTGCTTGTTCAAAACACTAAATCAGATCACGTCATGCTTCCCCTCAAACCTACCTGGAGCTTCCCCTCTGGCTCGGTGCAAAAGCTGAAGTCTCAACAGTACAACTCGCTCCCTCTCTATCCTGATCAACTCCAGCCTCAGGGGCCTCCTTGCTATTCTTCTCACCCACCAAGCATGCGCCGACCTCAGGCCTTTGCACATGCTATTCCCTCTGCCTAGAATGCTTGTCCCTGCTGTACCTGTGTGGCTGCCTCCATCTCTTTTCTCAACAAGGACTCATCTGACCTCCCTGTTTAAAACTTCAGTCCCACCCCAGTCCGCATCCTTGCCTTATTTTTCTCCATTATCATCCCCCTCTTTCTTTTAAATAATATTTTATTGTATTATTGGTGAAGGGTTACACAGCAGTTCAGGTTCCCATTCAACAATTTCCACACAAGTTGTTCAGTGACATTGGTTGCATTCTTCACAATGCGTGAGCGTTCTCATTATTTCCATTCTGGTTGTTCCATTTCTGTTCATCTAGTTTCCCTGCCCCCTTAGATTCTCATCTTTGTTTTAAAGTAATTGTTGACCATTTGGTCTCAGAAAGGTGATTTTTGGGGGGGGGGGTTGTACTATTTTTTATAATTGTGTTATTATTGTTATTTGCTTCTCATATAATTTATTTTTTTGAACCCTTCAATGTGCTTTAGGTGAAAGTTTACACAGCAGATTAGTTCCCCATTCAATACTTCACACACAAATTGTTCCATGATGTTGGTTCCAATCCCCGCAATGTGTCAGCACTCTCCCCATTTCTACCCTGGGCTCCCCGTTTCCATTCGTCCGGTTTTCCTGCCCCTTCCTGCCTTCTCATCTTTGCTTTTGGGCAAATGTTGGCTGTTTGGTCTCGTATAGTTGATTGTTCTGAGGAGCACATTCCTCAAGGCTGTTATCGTTTATTTTATAGGCCCGTCTATTATTTGGCTGAAAGGTGACCTCCGGGAGTGTTTTCAGTTCCAAGTTAGAAAGGTGTCTTATGGCTATCGTCTCTGGGGTTCCTCCAGTCTCAGTATCAGACCACTAAGTCTAGTCTTATTTTTATGAATCTGAGTTTTGTTCTACATTTTTCTCCCACTCTAACCAGGACTTTCTATTGTGTTCCTGGTTAGAGCAGTCGCTAGTGGTAGCCGGGCACCATCTAGTTCTTCTGGTCTCAGGATAGAGGAGGTTGTGGTTCCTGTGATCCTTTAGTCCTTTGACTAATTGCTTCCTTGAGTCTTAGGTTTTCTTCACTCTCCTTTGCTCCAGATGGGAAAAGACCAACGGCTGTGTCTTAGATGGCCACACACAAGCTTTTAAGACCCCAGTCGCTACTCAGCAAAGTAGGATGTAGAACACGGTCTTTATGAACTATGTTATGCCAATTGACCTAGACGTCCCCTGAGACCATGGTCCTGAGCCTTGAAACCCAGTAACTCAATCCCACGAGGTGTTTAGATATGTCTCGAAGTTTCCATAACTGTGCTCTCTACCTGCTCGATTATGTATATAAATATACATGCAGCACATACAAATGTGTCTGTAGAAATATCCACAATCATACCTATATACGCATGTGGGTGTGTTCCCATACAAGCTCCCACGTCTATTCAGCATACATATCCCCCTATCTATCCGTTCGTAAATTACTGTTTGTTATTACTGTAGTTGCAGGATTGTATATGTTGTTGTATTTACTGCTGTTGTTAGGTGCCGTTGAGTTGGTTCCAACTCATAGTGACCCTGGTCCTGCGCCATCCTCACAATTGTTATGCTTGAGCCCATTGTTGCAGCCACTGTGTCAGTCCATCTCCTTGAGGGTCTTCCTCTTTTTCGCTGACCCTCTACTTTACCAAGCATGATGTCCTTCTCCAGGGACTGATCCCTCCTGATAACACGTCCAAAGTATGTGAGAGGAAGTCTCATCATCCTCGCTTCTAAGGAGCATTCTGGTTGTACTCCTAAGTCAGATTTGTTCGTTCTTCCGGCAGTCCATGGTATATTCAATATTCTTCACCAACACCATAATTCAAAGGCATCAATTCTTCTTCTGTCTTCTTTATTCACTGTCCAGCTTTCGCGTGCACATGAAGCCATTGAAAACACCACGGCTTGGGTCGGGCGCCTCAGTCCTTAGCGTTTACCATAGTTGCCCTTTGTTCTCACGTACCGCTCGGCGTCTTCCTCTGCCTGGGACACGTTGTGCTGACATCCCCCATATTGTGTATTGCCTTTCCCTTCACCAAATCATATAGGTGATTTTTTAAAGGAACACAGTACTTACAGGCGACATCCACTATTTTGTGAGCCAATTTGTTATTTAGCTGTAAGGTGATCTCCAAGGTTAGTTTTGGTTCAAGGTTTGAGGAGTATCTCAGGGCAATAGTCTTGGGGAGTCCTCCAGTCTCCACCAGTCCAATAGGTTTATTTTTGGAAGGAATTTGAGGTTCTGATCTGCATTTCTCTCCCATTCTATCAGGGTCCATCTCTTGTGGCCTGATCAGAATGGTCGGGAGTGGTGGCTGGGCCCCGTCTAGTCTTTCTATCCCTCTGTCTCTTCTTGATTATCTATCTCTCCCGACAGCTGCATGTCCCATACAGCAGCCCCTCGCCACGTGTGGCTCTTTTCCTGTGAATTTAAAAGAAATTAAATGTGAAGTTCTGTTTCTCAAGCGCACAGGCCACATTTCAGGTGCTCAGTAGCCACGTGGGGCTGGCGGTTTCCGTACGGGACGAGGCAGAATAGAGCATTCCCATGATTGCACAAGGCTCTAGGGGATCATGTTGTTCTAGAACATTCTAGAGCTACAAGCCACATGTGGCTATTTAAATGCAGGTTTAAAAGGAAATAAAACCTGAAACTTAGTTTCTCAGTCTTGCTGGCCACCCTGCAGATGCTTGGCAGCTACCTGTGGCTGGTGGCGGACAGCCCAGGTCTAGAACATTCCTATCTTTGCAGAAAGTTCTATTGGTCCACGCTGTCTCGACTGTGAGCTCCACACAGGTGGGGATTTCTGTCTGTTTTGTTTACTGCCCAGTTCCTGGAATAGTGTTCAGTCCACTGGAGTTGCTCAAGTGTTTATTGATTGAACTTAGTAATAATAATAACAACAATAGTAATCAATCAATCATCATTACCATCATCGACAAGGATGGTACCTGAAGACATTCTCTCCTAATCAGACCCCTGTAGCTAATATATACGAGGCCCTGGGTGGCACACACAGTTAATCGAAAGGTTGATGATTCCAACTCACCCAGAGGTGCCTCGGAAGAAAGGCCTGGCGATCTGCTTCCAAAAAACCAGCCATTGAAAACCCTGTGGAGCACAGCTCTGCTCTGACACGTGTGGGGTCGCCATGAGTTGGAATCAACTTGACAGCAGTGGGTTTGGTTTTGGGTTTTTGGCAAATATACTTCCTTATGACAAGGTATAAAAGTCTTCCAAGCTTTTTCTTCTTTCTCAGGCAGGCATAGGCATGAGAAGACTCCCAAACTGAGATCTGCTGGCCCCCAGCAAGGAGGTCAGGCCCCGGATGTAAGACAAAGTTCCCCTGAATTTGGGGGGGCGGCTAGGGCTTCCTACACAGGGACGCCCCCACCCAGGCCTGATGGCTGTGTATACACAGTGTCCCACATACTCAGACGCTCCCTGAACTAGCCTGCGGCTCACCGTTGTTAGTCGTCATTGAGTCGATCCAACTCACGGACACCATGTGACAGAGTGGAACTGTGCTCCGTAAGGTTTTCAAGGCTGTGACCGTTCAAAGTAGAACATCAGGCCTTTCTTCCGACGCACCTCTGGGTGGGTTTGAACCTCCAACGTTTCAGTTAACAGCCAAGCACTTAACTGTTTGCACCACCCAGGGACTCCTTTTCCAGCGCTTAAACTAAAATCAAAAACCAGACCCGTTGCCATCAGTTCAATTCCAACTCGTAGGGCCCCTATGGGACAGAGTAGAACCGCCCCATAGGGTTTCCAAGTCTGTAAATCTTTAAGGAAGCAGACTGCCACATCTTTCTCCCGCAGAGCGGCTGGTGGGTTCGAACCTCTGACCTTTAGGTTATCAGCCGAGAGCTTTAACCCAGCATTTAGCACCATGGAATTATCTGGCTTACTCTTTTTTTTTTTTTTTTTGCTTGCTGCCTGTTTGCCTATAGATCACTGAGTAACAGTTTAGCTCAAAAAGTAAAGATTGTTGGCCCTCGGACACCCTTTTAGCTCAGTACTGAAGTCACCCCTGAGGTTCACCCTTCAGCCAAAGATTAGACAGGCCCATAAAACAAAATGAGACTCGAAGGGCACACCAGTCCAGGGACAAGGACTAGAAGGCAGGAGGGGACAGGAAAGCTGGTCATAGGGAACCCAAGGTCAAGAAGGGAGAGTGTTGACATGTCGTGAGGGTTGGTAACCAATGTCACAAAAGAATATGTGTACTAATGTTGAATGAGAAACTAGTTTGTTCCATAAACCTTCATCTAAAGTACACTAAAAAAAGTAAAGATTGTCACCCTTGGGTATTGTGTTCTTTTAAAGAATCAGATATCTATATACGACCAAATCATCCAAAGCTACTTTAAAGCACAGATGAGAAGGCTGGGGTGGGGTGGGGAGTGAAATAAGCAAAAGGGGAATAAGAAGAATGTTGTCATGTTGTGAAGGATGTAACCATCGTCACTCACTGGCCAGTATGTCTGGAAACGGTGGAATGGGAACAGGTTTTACTGTGTATATTTTCGCCAAAAATAAAATATGAATTACAAAAAAATAATAAAAGAAATCAAACAAGACACGCTTACAGAAGTCCTCCTTGAGGTAGCCCCAGCCGGAGATGAGGCACTTCTTCTGGGCTGGAAAGATGTGCGAGGCAGCCGGGAGGCACACGGGCTGGATGTGCCTGCCGAAGGGCAGCGGGCTGGCCAGCTGGAGCACGGCCACGTCGAAGTCGGCGGTGTCGGTGTTGTAAAAGGGGTGCTTGATGATCTTTGAGACCCGGGCCCGCACAGTACTGGCCTCCGAGCCACTGAGGTAGGTCGTGCCCACGTAGGCCACCCACTCTGTCGGGTCCTGGAAGCTGCAGGGGCAAGAGGCACAGCTCAGAGGCCCCCATGGATGAGGGCCGGGGTAGGGTGTGGAGGGTGAGCCACTCACCTTGGGCACCGATGTTAAGGGGATGCCCCAAATCCCGTCATTGAGATGAATAATATTGTAAGGCAATATTATAGCAACATGAATGCAAAAATATACATGATGAACAAAATATCAAATCTTTAAATAAAGACTGAATCTGACAGGTCTGGGATTAGGGTGAGGCTAGTGAGGCAACCCCATGTGTGTCAGAGTAGAACTGAGATCCACAGTGTTTTCATTGGCTGATTTTTGCACATTGATTGCCAGGCCTTTCTTCCTGGTCTGTCTTAGTCTGGCAGCTCTGCTGAAACCTGTTCAGCATCACAGCAACATGCAAGCCTCTACGGACAGACAGGTGGTGGCTGCGCATGAGATGCATTGGCCAGGAATCAAACCCAGGTCTCCTGCATGGAAGGTGAGAATTCTCCCACTGAGCCCCCACTGCCCCCACTGTTCATCCTTAGAGGTGCTCTTCCAAAGCTCAAGAACTACCAAGATGAGAGACTGTTCTGCTGTGGCTCCTGGGAGTCCCTTATGGCACCACACCAAAACCCATTGCTGTCAGGTTGATTCTGACTCACAGCAACACTTTAGGACAGAGTAGAACCGCCCCATAGGGTTTCCAAGGAGCGGCTGGTGGATTTGAACTGCCGACCTTTCGGTTAGCAGCCAACCTCTTAACCACTGCGCCACCAGGGCTCCAGGATGGCAGCAACTACAGATAATTGCCTGACGGCAATTCAGCCCAGAAGGACCCGCCCTGTACAAACCCCTGCCCTGTGGTGAAGCCAGCTAGACAAGGGAACCGAGGGCGGGGGCCTTACTCGTTGAAACAGTGGGCAGCAGACACCAGCCATCTCGCGCTCACGATGGTGGCCCCACAGAAGTGCTCGTTGTTTTCACGGAGGCTGGCTTGCCACGGGAACTCCCCTGGGGACGCTTCCACACCGCCCACGATCCTCCCAGCTGTCCTCCAGGCAGGTTGCAAACCGCAGTCTGCAAGAGAGAAGGTCACAGGACCCCAAGAACCCGCTGGGCCCACGTGTCTCAGCATCTCTCAGCTCAACTACCCCCAAGTTCAACGCGAGACAGGCAGCCTCAGAGCTCAGCCGTTCTAGGAGACACCTGCTTTAGCTTATCCTCCTACACCAAGCAGATAGTCTGCACATTCTTCTGAAATTGTCCTTGACAAGATAACCACAGAACAGACATAGCTGGCCTCAACCGGTTTTAGCAAATTTCCAACACCACCTTAGCACTTTAAGTGACTTATTAGCTCATGCAGTGCAAAATATATATAAGCACCCCACCTCTGGGTGGAGACTTAACAATGCTAATGAAGGAAAATCGACTTCTTCCTCCATACCAGGGAATCAAACTCTTATCTAGAGAAAATACATAGTCATTCACAAGCTCTGGACACTTCCTAAATATTCATGATAAATTTACAGTTCCTTGTCTGCTCTCTGTAAAAGCCCGCTTCCCTACACTGCCTGTGAGAAGTCTTGGAGGCAGCAGCCCTGACTGCTCCTTTCCTTGCGCAACGGAATAAAGGCGCTTTTCTACTCTCCCACCTTGGCCTCTTGTTTATTGGCTGTAATGAGTTTTGCTGAGCAGAACCTGGGGTTTTCACCTGGCAACAAACATCCCTTGAACTTGGCCATCCTGATGCCTCTGGGGTGTCCCTTTCCCACCCCCTTCACGTCTTCCAGCTGCCCTGTATGCCCACAAAGGTCAAACAGCCAAGGGCACAGGCACAAGAAAGGCCTCCGTCCAGGAAGCCTCTGCCCCAGCCCAGTCTCTTCCCTCTGCTCGCCATTTAACACTTTGCCATATTGTTTACGGATGGCCGCAAGCTTCAAGGTGGGAACTTCACAAACGCTTTTAAGTTGAATTTGGGCCAAGCTGACCAATAAACTAAAGAGTTGAATCCTTGCTTTCTCACGCTTCTGGTTGTCTGGTGGACTTTTTCTTCCTCCTCCTCCCCACAAAGACCCCTCCTTCTGGCGTCCTGATCCTAGCTAACGTTGCTGTGCAGTAAAGGGTTAACTCAGCAGGCTTGGGTTGCCCAAACTCTCCACATTCCAAAGAAAAGATTGGTCCTTGACTGGCTGCTGGATGATAATTTCTAAAGTCTTGGAATATCTTGCCTGATCAAAATGTTTTTGTATGCCTGAGGTCTTGGGCGAACCCAAGTAGTCTATGTCAGCAATAGGATTTACGGTGGGGGCTTGGACCAGGCCAGATAATCTATGCCAACAGCGGGATTCATGGTGGGGCCTTGGGCCACCCCAGATGGTCTGTGCCAACATTGGGATCTATGGTGGGGTCTTGGGCCACCCTAGATGGGCTGTGCCAACAATGGGATTTATGGTGGGGCCTTGGGCCACCCCACATGGTCTGTGCCAACAGTGGGATTCGTGGTGGGGCCTTGGGCCACCCCAGATGTGCTGTGCCAACAGTGGGATCCATGGTGGGGTCTTGGGCCACATGGTGTCAGCGGACCCTGGGAAGGGGATGTGGCCTGGAATCCAGGGCAGACTGACCGCAGTGGGCCTCATCGGAGCCGTCAGCACAGTCCACTCTGTCGTCACACTCTGGGTTCCCCTTGCTGACACACTGGCTGTTCCCACAGGAAAAGGCATTCCCTGGACAGTGACCTGCGGACAGAGAAGAGCCAAGTTCCCAGCCGCCGCCACCGTCTCCCTGCCTTAGTGATACGCCGTTCTTCACCGGGAACCTCAGAGCACAGAAAGCTTCTCTCCTGTTTGCTTAAACCCACTGCTGTCAGGTTGATTCTGACTCAGTGACTCTTTTTGCTTAACTCTGAATATTTCTGAAATAATTTTCTCAGAATTAGGGCAAAGAAATAGCACAGGAATTTCAGTTAGCACCATGGCCAGATAGTACTACATGCTCCCTGGGGCCAGAACCACTGGTGTTAAGCTAAATAAATGTATCTCTGCACGTGTGGTGAGTTATCTGGAAGTGAAGACAGCAAAGTCTTATCAGTGATGAGATCCCAGGTGACCAGCACTCTCTTCTTTTTCCTTTCTGCTTTTTAACAGCAGGTTTCCACCACTTTTCCAAAAAACAATAACGTTTTCTTTTAATTACACTCCACCATGTATAATTCAAAGTGGCTCCTCCTTTAAATTCTTTGCTCGCACAGGACTATAATCTATCTCCCCGGTAGGAGGCTGGGGAGCAAGACTAATATTTACCTATTGGCAAAAGTTGTGTGATAGATATTTTTACAGCAACAACAGCAACAAAGTAGCTGCTAAGTCTGCTTATGCACAACCAAACACCTCATGGGATTTGGAGGTTTAGGGTCATGGTTTCATGGGGTATTGATCTAATAACTTGTTCAGTGCTTCTGTTCTACCTCCTAGTTCGTTGCATAGTGCCTGGGGTCTTAAAAGCTTGCAAGTGGCCATCCAAAGCATAATAATTTGTCTCTATTTGCCTGGAGCAACAGAGGAAGAAGGAGAGTCAGGAATAGGAGGAGGAAATGGAATGTGTGGCTAATTGCCTCCATGAACAACTGTCTCCTTTGCCATGAGACCAGAAGAACTGGATGGTGCCCGGCTACCAATACTGAACATTTTGATCAAAGATTCTATAGAAGATTCCTCGTCAAAAGGGGTAAAATGTAGAACAGAATTTCAAATCCTCATAGACTCCAGACTTTCTGGAGCCATGGAGGCTGGGTGAACCTCCGAAATTATTGTCCTGAGAAATCTATAAACCTTAAACCAAAAATATGCCCTAAAGTTTTCTTAAAATCAAACAATAGTTTAGCTTAATTAGTAAAGAATGTCTCCCTTGAGCATTGTACTTTTTAAGAGCTATCTATATGGGATCAAATTGACAGCAGCAGCTTGAAAGATTAGATAGGAACTTTAGGGGGCAGTGAGTTTATGTTAGTGAGGAAGAAATTACTCAAGAAAGGAGGGTGAGGATGGCCGCACAACTCCAAAAATGTCATCAATGTCACTGAATTGAACATGGAGAAACGGTTGAATTGGTGTATATTCTCAACAACAACAAGGAAAATAAAATAAATTTTTTAAAAGAAAAACTAATATTTACCCGATGGCACAAATCATTTGCACTCAACTACTAACCTAAAGGTTGGTGGTTCAAACCCAACCAGTGGAGCTGCAGAAGAAAGGCCTGGCAATCTGCTTCTGAAAAATCAGCCATTGAAAACCCCGCAGAGCACAGTTCTGCTCTGACACACCTGGGGTTGCCATGAGTTGAAGCTGACTCGACAGCAATGGGTTTGCTTTGGTTCAGGGATTTCCTCACTTCAAAGAAGTCTTAGGAAGCCCTGGAGGAGGTAACTGCAGGTGGAGAAAATGGAGCAGAGGGCAGGGAGCTCTCACCAGAGAGAAGACATACCTGATTTTAAGTCTCTTTCTGTAAGTGGCCCCTTCTGGCTTCCTGCAGCAAAAGGGAGACAAGATAAGCTCATTCAGTTAGCCGCGAAATTCTTTCGAGAACATCTTGTTGGTGGCAGTTGGTGGAACAAAGCATAGGGCTGCGCTGTCCATTACGAGACGCTTAAATTCTAACTCAGATCATTGAAGTGAAATCAAATGAAACATCCCGTTCCTCAGTTGCACGGGCCACGTGACAAGCGCTTAACGGCCATGTGGGGCTGGTGGCTACCATGTTTGACATTGAAGAGATGGAACATTTCGACATCACGGAAAGTTCTATAAGACAGTGCTGGTGTCATGGTTACCAAGACCTCAAGTCAACTGTCAGGGTTAGTGGGGAGGAAACTGTAGGTGTCCCAAAGAGCAAGGTCAAGGTGAAAAATTCTTAAAATCTGACCCCAGTCTGAACTGATCTCCAGCTTACAAATCACAACTGGATAATAGAGTGTTCGAGCATAGTGTTTGCTTTAATTTCTATACCAGGGTCTGCAAACTATAGCCCCAGGGCCAAAAATCTGGCTCCCTGTTTGTTTTTGTAAATAAAGTTTTATTGGCATATGGCCACACCCATTTGTTTACATATGGCTCTTTGCATGCTGCAACAGCAGAGTTGAGTCATGATGACAGAGACCTTCTGGCCTGCAAAGCTGAAAATATTTACTCTCTGACCCTTAATGGGAAAAGGTTGCTGTCAGGGATTAAATTGTGTCCTCCAAAAATACCTGTCAACTTGGCTAGGCCATGATTCCCAGTATTGTCTGGTTGTCCTCCATTTTGTGTTCTGATGTAATTATCCTCCACTTTGTGATGGGTTGTAAATCCTAAACTCTGCCTGTGGTCATAATCCCATTTGTGAATGGGTTGTGTTCGTTATGTTAATGAGGCAGGATTAGGTTATGTTTGTTATGTTAATGAGGCAGGATTACGGTGTATCTTGAGTTAATCTTTTCTGAGATATAAAAGAGACTAAAGAAGCAAGCAAGAGAAGCAGAGGCAGAGATGGGGGAAGAGAAACGCCAAGCCACATGAAAATCACCCAGGAGCAAGCAGAAGCTCAGAAGAGATAAGGACCTTCCTCCAGGGCTGACAGAGAGAGACAGCCTTCCCCTAGAGCCGGTGCCCTGCATTCGGATTTCCAGCCTCCTAAACTGTGAGAGAATAAATTTCTGTTTGGTAAAGCCACCCCCTTGTGGTATTCTGATACAGCCACACTGGAGAACTAAGACGGTTGCTATAACAACAGCAACAACGACAAAGCTTAACACAATGTCAAACCACAGCGATACAGCAGGGACCCCCCGGCTTCTCTCTCTGGCACCTCCTGAGTATTTTCGTCTGTCTCCCGCTCACCTGTGAGCTCGGCAGACACGATGGTGCCATAGGCGGCCAGGGGGATGCCGTGGTCCCCAAGCCTGGCCCGCAGCCCCTGCTGCAGGAGTTGCTCCTCCAAGGCAAGGCTCAGCGTGCGGAGAGCTCGTAGCAGGAAGTGCAGCCGGAATCGCACCAGGACACTGGTGTTTCCATCCCTGCAGATGGGGAAGAGGCCCTCGGACAGAGCTCCTCTCTGCTGGAATCTTCTGGAATCTCCCAGGCACCCGCCAAAGTGCCCCCACCCCAGAGGAGGCTCTGACTCACCTGTAACTCAGCACGGTGCAGCCCACGCAGCTGGCCTCCAGCTCCGTCTTCCGGAAGCTACTTAAAAACTGCAATGAGACAACAGCGCCGCCTATTGACACGTACAGCGTGGACACTGGCCCCCACAGGGGAGCTCTGTCCTGTGTCTGGGGAAGCTGGAGAAGGGGGGTATGTTCTATGGAAAAGCACCTCCTTTCTTTTTATGGTGGTAAAGTATACATCACCAAACATTTGCCATTTTGGAGCCCTGGTGGTGCAGTGGGTAAGAGCTTGGCTGCTAATCAAAAGTTTGGAAATTCGAATCCACCGGGTGATCCTTGGAAACTCTATAGGGGCAGTTCTACTCTGTCCTGTAGGGTTGCTATGAGTTGGAAATGACTTGGTGGAAACGGGTTTTTTGGTTTTATCTTTTATTTATATATTCCATTATATCACAACTCTTAATTTTAGGAAGTTCTCATTTTTAAAAATTTTATTGTTGAAGTATATATGTAATAACACATTTACCATTTCAGCCATTTTCACACGGACAACCCAGTGACATTAATTACATTCCCACAACGATTCATTTCCAATTTTTTTCATCACCCCAAACAGAAGCTCTGTTTCTATCAAACAATAACTCCCCATTTCTCCCTCCTCTCAGCATCTACTTTGATCTTTGTGCATTTGCTTATTTTAGGCATTTCATAGAAGTGGGATCGAACACTATTTGCCCTTTTGGGTCTGACTTATTTCACTGAGCATCACGTTTTCCAGGTTCATCCACACTGTGGCGTACATCAGCACTTCGCTCCTCTTCATGGCTGAGTAATATTCCATTGTCTGGATGGACCACATTGGGTCCATCCATCACCTGTTGATGGACACTTGGGTTGTGTCCATCTTTCGGCTACTGTGAATAGTGCTGCTGTGAACATTGGTGTACGTATATCTGTTTGTGTCCCTTCCTTCAAGTCTTTTGAGTAGATCCCTAGGAGCGGAATTGCTGGGTCGTATGGTATTTCTACGTTTAAACTTTTGAGGAAAGACCAGACTGTTTTCCGCCGTGGCTGTGCCATTTTACATCCCCACCCGCCGTGTATTGTATGAAGGTTCTGATTTCTCCACATGAGAATAAAATTTTAAGCCTTTATATTAAACATGGTCTACGGAGCCCTGGTGGTGCAACGGTTAAGTACTCAGCTGCAAACTGAAATGTTGGCGATTGGAACCCTCCAGCCACTCAGAGAGGAAGATCTAGTGATCTGGTCCCACAAAGATTACAGCCTAGGAAGCTCTGTGGGACAGTTCTACTCTATCACGTAGGATTGCTATGAGTTGGAATCTACTTGTTGCCACCTAACATCAACAACAACAAACATGACATACGAGCCTGCATGAGTCAACCCAGGCTGAATTCAACTCTCTTCTGTGCACACTCGGCTATGGCCGCTCCAGCCTCATCCTGTCCCTCCCACGTGTCCAGCCTTGCTGCCTGTGAGGGTTAATGCTGCACGTCCAGTTGGCCAAGCTATGATTCTCAGTGGTCTGGCAGGCACTATGTAATCATCTTCCATTTTGTGATCTGATGTGAGCAGCCAATCAGTTGAAAGCGGAGCTTCCTTAGGGGTAGGGTCTGCCTCCAGTACATAAATGAATGGTCTGGCAAAGCTTGCTCTTTTTCAATTCTGCACTGTTCCTGTTGCTTGACCTCCGATTCTTGGGATGCCAGAGACCTTCAGTCTGCCACGTGACCAGTAGATTTTGGATTTGCCGGCCTCTGCAACCATTTGAGGAGCCCTGGTGGCACAGTGGTTAAGAGCTCAGCTGCTAACCAAAATGTTGGCAATTTGAATCCACCAGCTGCTCCTTGGAAACACTATGGGGCAGTTCTACTCTGTCCTGTATGGTTGCTATGAGTTGGATCAACTCAATGGCAACGGGTTTTTTTTTTTTTTTTTGGCAACCATATAAACCAGCAGAAGCCTTCGGCCTGCCGCCTGACCTGCAGATTTTGGATTTGCCAGTCCCTGAAACTGTGTGAACCAGCATAAGCCTTTAGTCTGCTGCCTGACCCATGGATTTGCGACTTGCCAGCCCCCACAATTGTGTGAGCCGTTTCTTTGAAGTAAGTTTCTCTCTCTATATATCTATACATGTTTCACTGGTTTTGCTTCTCCGGGGAACGCAGAATAAGACGTCACCTTAAAGCCTTTCCCTGCTACTGCCTCTACCTGGGCCTCCTCCCACCTGCTGCCTTGCCTCCAGCAACTTCTCAGCCTTCGGGCACGAGAACCTCCTTGAGGTTGCCCACCGTCTCAGTTCCCTACTGCTGCTGTAACGGAAACACCACTAGTGGGTGGTTTTAAAGAAGAGAAATTTATTTTCTCACAGTTTTCGAGGATAAAAGTATGAATTCCGTGTGTCGGCTCTGGGGGAAAATCCTTGTCTCAGCTTCTCTAGGGTTCTTTCAATGCTCCTCAGTTCCTTGGAGTTCTCCACGTAGCATCTGTCTTTCTCTTTAGGGGCTTGCCTGCATCTGTGTCTAATCTGCTCTTTTTATATCGTGAAACCGGTGAGAGCTGGAACTCATCAGGACTGCCTTGTTTTTCCAGGTCTTGCAAGTTTTTCGCCTTTGACAGGGTGCAGCCTTACTACTTTTCTATCGCTTCTTTTAGTGGAAAATATTTGAATTCCCTTCTGACAGGTTTCTGCCTCACACAAGTTCCGGCTTTTGCAGGTTTTACTGCATCTCAAGAGTGATTAGGATTAGGACCCTCCCTACGCTGATATGGCCTCATTAACATAACAAAGAAAACTCTCCTCTCAGATGGGATCACATCCACAGCACAATTCAATCCATAGCACCTCCCTTGCTCCCAGGAGCCCCATCTCTGCCCCCAAACGTGGACACAACTCACCAGCGTCTCCAGGGTGGGCGTCAGCATCCGGTAATAGTCTGAGTTCTCCTGCTGCAAGCTGCTGGCGTAGCGGATCCCTCGCAGCTGGGCCGTGTGCTCCACATCCACGCCCTGTGCAGAAAGGAAGGCTGCGGACGAGACCAGAGCCCCGTGAGGGAGCCTGGCCACTGGGCTCCAGGCACAGCTGGCTCAGGGCCCTGTTCCCCTGGGACAAGCCGGGACAATCGCTCCCCACAGTGGGGTGACCTGATGTCCCGGTAGATGGGACACTTCCCGTTTATGTCTGTTGTACCGAGTGATTATTAATAGCTCCCTCATTCCAACTCTCAGAAGTGTCCTGTTTGGTGATGAATTCCATGGTGGCCTACCTGAAGGCCCCCAGGTACACTGCAAGCCTGGTGTCTCGCTACCTAGGGCTGCCGAAACACAGATACCGCAAGGGGTGGCTTTAAGGGACAGAAATTTATCTTCTCACAGTGCAAAAACCCAGTTGCCCAGCAAAGGAGGGTGATAATGGCTGCAGAACCCGAAGACTGCAATCAATGTCACTGAAGCGTACCTGTGGGGATTGTTGACCTGGTGGGTGTTCTGCTGTGCATATTCTCAACAACAACAAAAAATAAAATTATTTTTAAAAATTGTGGTAACAAAGATTTGTCTAACAAATAACTTCTATTGTAAAGGTAAAGTCGCTTATGATAGAAAACTTGGAAAAAGAGAGGAAAACCAACCACATCTCACTTTTCAAAACAAAGTTTTATGCCTTATTTAACTGTCATGGATTGAATTGTGTCCCCAAAACTGTGTATCAACTTGGCTAGTCTGTGATTCCCAGTATCACGTGATTGTCCACCATTCTGTCATCTGATGTGATTTTCCTACGTGTTGTAAAGCCTACCTCTAGGACGTTAAGGAGGCGGGATTAGCGGCAGTTCTGTTAACGAGGCAGGACTCCGTCTATAAGATCGTTGTTGCTGCTGTTAAGCGCCGTCGAGTCGGTTCCAACTCGTAGCGACCGTGAGTGCAACAGAACGAAACACTGCCCAGTCCTGTGTCATCCTCACAATCCTTGCTATGCTCGAGGTCATTACTGCAGCCACTGGGTCAGTCCATCTCGTTGAGGGGTCTTCCTCTTTTTCGCTGACCCTCTACTTTACCAAGCATGATGTCCTTCTCCAGGGACTGGTCCCTCCCGATAACATGTCCTAAGTATGTGAGACGAAGTCTCGCCATCCTTGCTTCTAAGGAGCATTCTGGCTGTACTACAAGTTGTGTTGTAAGTCAATCTCTTTTGAGATATAGAAGAGAGAAGCGAGCAGAGAGACATGGAGACCTCATACCACCGAGAAACAAGAGCCAGGGGAATAGTCATCCTGTGGACCTGGGGTCCCTGTGCTGAGAAGCTCCTAGACCAGGGGAAGACTGATGACAAGGACCTTCCCCCAGAGCTGACAGAGAGAGAAAGCCTTCTTCTGGAGCTGGTGCCCTGAATTTGGACTTCTAGCCTCCTAGATTGTGAGAGAATAAATTTCTCTTTGTTGAAGTGATCGACTCATGGTGTTTCTGTTATAGCAGCACCAGATGACTAAGACACTGATTACATTAAGGAGAGATTCAAAGGATCAAACTATCGTTTTTCTTGACCATATTCAACAGATGGTTTTTATACACTTTTAATAAGTAAGCAATAAAACGGAAAAATGATTGAGTTTTTTTCTAGTTCCGGGAAATAAAATATTTAAAAAACTAAAAAAAAAAAAAAAAAAGCAAAAAAATCCCAAAATAAACCAGTTGCCTCAAACTGACTCCAGCTCATGGCACCGCCATGTGTGTCAGAGGAGAACTGTGCTCCACAGGGTTTTTAATGGCTCTTTTTTGGAAGTAGATCGCCAGGCCTTTCTTCCGAGGCACCTCTGGATGGACTGGAACCTCCAACCTTTCAGTCAGCAGCCGAGCGCGTTAACTGTTTGCACTACCGGGGGACCTCTCTCACAGTTCAGGGGCTAGGAGTCTGAATTCGGGGTGTGGCTCTGGGGGTGGAAAGGGCCTCCCCATCTATTTCAGCCTCTAGGAGCTGCCGGCAACCCTTGGTGCTCCTGGCCTTGTAGATGCGCCTGCGTGTGTGTCTGCCTTCACGTGGCATCTCCCTGTGTGTGTCTCCGTGTCTACGCTGCTCTTTTGATCACTCGAAAGTGATTAGGTTCAGACCCCACCCGACACTGGTACACCCTCATTAACATAACAGAACAAAACCCCTGTTTCCAGACAGGATCACATCCACGGTCCAGAAAAACAACAGTTGCTGTGGAGTCGATTCTGATTCGTGGTGGCCCCATGTGTGTCAGAGGAGAACCGTGCTCCCTAGGGTTTTCAGGGTCTGACTTTTCAGAATTAGATGGCCAGGCTTTCTTCCGAGGTGCCTCTGGGTGGACACCTCTGGGTGGATTCGAACCTCCAACCTTCTGGTTAGCAGTCAAACACATTAACCATTTGCACCACCCAGGGACTCCTCACACAGGTATACCAGTTGTTGTTGAGTCAATTCCAACTCATAGTGACCCTGCAGGACAGAGTAGAACTGCCTCATAGGATGTCCAAGGCTGTAAATCTTTATGGAAGCAGATCACCAGGTCTTTCTTTCGTGGAGCAGCTGGTGGGTTCGAACCGCAGACCGTTTGGTTAGCAGCTGATAGCTTAACCGCTGTACCACCGGGGTATGCTGTTGTTGGGGGCTGTCCTTGTTTGAATTATGTCCCCCCAAAAATGTGGGTATCAGTTTGGCTGGGCCATGATTCCTGGT